TATTTCTTTGTTGTACTGCACGTCTTGTATGAAAGGTGCAATACAAATAAAGTTTATCATTTTCATAATTACTATTATTAGAACAGTTGTGACCACAGATCTTATGTAACACTGTGTTTACATGGAACCAACAGTCATGTAGGAAATGTGAGTTGAATGTGTATTTAGTCTCCTGTATCATTTATGGAGTACATCATAAAATCTCGTGCATCATCCTGCAGTTCCAGATCGGACACAGTACACGATGTTTTCTCCTGTGGAATGAAAGAAGAGCCCCTGCAGGGTCAGGCCATGGGTTGAGGCAGGAGCAGCTCCCCGTGTCCCTTTTCACTGCTGCTGGCTTAGTACTTTACTGCCTAGAAGTCCGCAGGAATGTCCACGTCTTGGTTTTCTGTGGGTCATAATATTTTATTGCACCTCAGACACCATTTCTGTCTCCTTGTTTGGCAGCTATGCAGCGTGGCAACAAGTGTTTTGCGTTCCCACTGGGATAGACTGGTCGAGAGAAGAAGAAGGAGGGTATGCTGCTCCAACTGACCAGCAGGAGCCCAAATAGCACAGAACTAGCAGAGAAGAGCAACAGGAGACATCACAGCTTCAATAATAAGAGAGGTAAGCAGAAAATTCACTCTCACTAAACAGAGATATAAGAGCAGGAACCTCTCTTCGGCTCAGCAAGGGTTTGACAGGAAAATAGCACTGATATACTAAATGTTTTTAACTTTTGAGATTTCTTTAAGATGAGCCCTGCCCTGTTTGTCTGGCACAGCTTTATTTACTGCAGTACTGTTCGTACGTTTACCCAGCATGTCTATTAAAAGCATTGTCTTGGTGGGACATCTCCATTTGAACATTGTAGGTCTTTTAACCGTGTACAACTTCCAAAATGGTTCAGGACAACAGGGCAATGTAAGACCTGCATAAGGTGTAATGGAATTTGTTTGTTTATCATTCACCTATACCATGACTATTTGCATGCTTTCACTTTGGGACTGTGACGCTGTATCCTTAGTACGCTGCATGAATGAACACACTGCACTCCACGGTATGCAGTGTGGTGAGCAGGCATAGTGAGCATTGTTGGAGCTGTGGGTGATGGTCAGTTTACAGAGTTAAGACTGATGTTGGATTTCATCTAAGTGTATTTTCGGCCTTATGAGATGAACTGTTAAAATACAACTGATAGGCCCTGATAATCCCCCTCAATTAAATCTATCAGTCACCTATCTCAACCACTTGGATTGAATTTAATCATATTACATTTAAAGTAGAAGCTTAAAGAATCAGCAGGTCCAGAGCAAAAAGACAACGACAATTATAAAAGAAAAGATACAGTATGACAAAAAGACGAGTGCTTTGTGACAGAGAGGTGAGGCTCTGGACATTGCCAGATCTCTAGCAGTATGGTTTAAATACTGCAGATCAGGAAAAAAGCACTGTAGCATAGTATTTTGTTTCCCTGAATACAGGACAAGGGACAGGAAAATTAAGCTAAAAGGAAAAGCTACAACACTTTGAAACATCAGCAGAGAAGTCAACCGTGCAATCGTCCTCCAAAGAAAAACATTAGCATCCATCATTTCAGCAAATGCCCCACCAAGACTTCTAGCGGCGGTGACTCTTTAACCTGTGGCAACAAAGGTCCTCTTACCCACAATGGTTCCCTAACCCAATCAAGGCCCTTACATGTGTTGCTCTGGATGGGCACCAGGCTTACAGCTCTGCTTCATTGGTCACTAATGGAAAGATACAGTTAGATGCTTAGTTTTGTTTGATAAAATCAGAACAATTTTAACATAATTTAAAAATCAAGGGGACAAGAATTGATCCCTATGGGACACCGCACGAAGGATTTACTGAGAAGGAGGAGTTCTTGACCAAAAAAGAAAAACCAGAAAAGTCTATTATCCAAGAAAGACTTAAACAATATAATAAGCATTCATATAAACTATAAAAGCAAGTTCTGGATAAATCAAGTCTTGTTGGCTGCAGTCGGAGTTGGCCTCCCAACAGCAGCTGTATTAGTACCTTGTCGTGCCTATTAAGCTTTATGCGGAGTGAAATCCTCTACACTACTGGCAGTGGCCTGTGAGTAGTGAGTGTTGGGGGATCTTAAGTGAGTGACAACAGTCCTGCATGTTGTCAGCAGGATTGAGCCGTCCTTAACGCAGTCGATCAGACACAGCTGAGCTGGGGCGGCGTGGAGAGACAGAGCTATTCCTGAGGAAGGGAGAGAGAGAGGGAGGAAGAGAACCCTGCTTTGGAACGACAAACACTCCTTCACATTGTTGGCTATAAAAAGCAAAGTCCCTTGGCGTGTCATAGGCCAGTCAACCGAAACATGTAAATATTTTAAAAGAGCACAGTAAATACATGTTTTTCTATACTAAAAGTACTGTATATTGTTGATATAATATGTGTTAAAGGTATATTACAGATGTGCCCTTCTGAGGGTATACTTGTAATGTATCTTTGGTGTTTTATAACATATATAGTGTGGTGGTTATGAGATGTTAGTTTGTACGTAAGGAGTAAAACTTTTCATTAATTTACCTCAGTAAACTTATTGAAAGAAAACTATGTTTGTAGTTAATCTTAATTTTTTATTCTGGTGGAGGAATATGAAATTATACTGCTGTGCTTGTATGTTTACCCATTGGTGTTGGATATTGTTCACTCACTTTACCTCAATTTCAAAAGATTAATTTGTGAAAGGACAATTTTTTTCAACTTTTTTACTTTCTGCGACTTGGAAAAACTGTGGAGAGACGGGAATATTTCAGTCTGCCAACTTCTACAAATTGTAGGTGGCACTGACACTTAACTTCTCTTGCAAGGGGAAAAAGGGACATAGCGAAGGCATAGACGTACGGCAGAAGCGGAGAAGGAGGTGATGAAAAGATGAATAAGAAATAAGACGGAGGGAGAGAGAAGCTCCCCCGCTGTGAATGGCATGTCTGCTATTTGTGGAAGAGGGACAGGGAGAGGTTTTCGTTGCACGAAGATACAGTAGAAGCATTGACAAGGGTGATGACCACGGTCCAGTGAATGCGACGAATCCGCGTGCCATCGCATTTGATACCGTAAACTGTGAGGTTGTGGACGTGCTGTTGTCAAGATGTCAATCACCAACGGAAAATCTCATTTAGCCGCTTGAATTAAAAGACAAAATTTTATATTTTTGTTATTGTCCGACCAAAACCATGATCTGATTTTACTAACAAGTTTAATCTGTGCATCCAAAGTCTGATAAAGCTCAGTCCTCTTTGCTCAAAGAGCTCCGTCATTGTCCAAGCACTGTTAAAACCACCTCGGTGAGCCACACTGTTGTACTGGGCGGTATGTTCCCTCAAGGCCATGAACATGGTCACGCTAGTTTATTTTGAGCCAATCCCACGAACACTGCCCAGCTGCTGGAGGAAAGTACTGGAGAACTAAAGGCTGAAAATAGGCCGTTAAGATACAGTGGCAAGAAGTATGTGAACTCTTTGGAATTACCTGCTTTTCTGCATTAATGGATCTTAAGATGTGATCTGATCTCTGTAAGTTACAAGTATAGACAAACGCAAACTCTTCATTGAACACTAAACATTCACAGTGATGCTGGAAGAAGTGAGTGAATGTTAATCACTGGTCAGAAGCGGCAAAGCCCCAGATCAAGATGCTCCTTCCACTCTGCTTCACCTCCAGGATGATGTGTTCATGTTGGTATGCTCTTTTTACTCTATACATAGTGCTGCTCGTTCTTCCCAAACAATTCAACCTTATTTTCATCAGTCCATAAAACATTTCTCCCAGTGGTGCTGTGGAGTGTCAAGCTGCTCTTTGGCAAACTTAAGGCATGCATGGGATGTTTTTTTGGAGAGCAGCAGCTTCCTCTGTGGTGTCGATGGCAGGACACCAGGATCCATGCAACTACTCACCATGATCTGTATATGGTCAACTCATGAACAGAGATGTTGACCAGCTCCGATGATCCCTTTAAGCCTTTAGCTGTTACTCTGAGTCATCTTAACTGGACGCTCACTTCTAGGGAACTAAACCATCTCCATTTATAGACAGTTTGACTGTGGACCGTGGACTTTCCAGCTAAACACAAATCAACAGCTCTTGATCGTAAGTCTTCTGAGATCTCTTTTTTGCAAGGCATGGTTTCACATCAGCGGATGTGTCTTGTGAACAGCAAATTCAAAATGTGTGTTTTATAATCTTGTTTCATTGATTTGACTCCAGGTTTGATAACTCCTGTCTGCACTTAGTTCGAAGTTGTTCATATACTTTTTCCAACCCACACTGTGAATGTTTGACTGGTGTTTTCAGCATGGTCAAGAACAATACAATGAATTATGTGATATTTGTTATTTGTTAAAATAGATCGTCTTTGTGCTTAATTGTAACTTAGATGAAGATCTGATGATATGTTAAAAAATGTTTTAGCAATAATGCAGATAATTCCTGAGGATTCACTGACTCTATCTTTCCACTGTACAAACTATTCACTTCTGATTGAGTCATGTTTGCTAAAAACTCATGTCCAGCTGAGTAATCCTCTACTTAACATTTTTAAAAAATGAAACAAAATATTTGTGATGTTTTTAAGTGTTAAGCTTTCAGAGGAAACCAACGGACATTTTTCAGACTGCATTCATGCATTTCTTCCTAATATGTTAATGTAATTGCCAGTTGTGTACAACACTCCTCTCTTTTGTATATCTTACTTTGTCATATCCAATGACTGCTCTAAAAACCTAATTTCCCCACGGGGACCATTATAGTTTCATGTTTTCTTCTCACCCCTGTGGAAGCTGCCCTGCTCGATGGGGGGTCGTAAGTAAGCCTCTTCCAAAAGGCCAGGGAAAGCCCTGGAGATAGCGACACCAATAGGTTTTTAGGTTGGAGGGGCCTAACACTATGTATAGCTTTGAAGCTTTGAAAACAGAGAAGAGGGCATCAGGGGCTGAGGAGACAGGGAAACCTTTACCCCCTGTGGATCAAGGGCTATGGAAGAAGGAGGGTTTGAATATCAGGCAGTGCACAGAGGGCGAGCTGTGACGTTCCTGCACGTTTCTCCACGGCCAAACGTGACTTTTCAGTTTTTATTGATATTTTGTTCCGAATTAAATTAAACATTTCTGCTTTCACAAAGTGAAGTAGAACAACAGAGGACAGAAAGAGGAAGACGCTGAAGAGTTTCTGAGCTTTACTCGTCGTTCAGGTGCAGCAGCAGATCTCGTACGTTGTAACGCTCCCCTTAACTATTTTTACAACCACTTTATTTGTATCAGTGGGGAACAGTATGTTAACACGGGTGTGTGTTTGGATATTCAAGGAATGTGTTTTTATTCTTGTAAGACAGAGTTGGTTGTTGAGTCTGTCGGTCCGGTTTGATCCAGTGACGTATCTCAATAATTACTGGATTGATTTCTATGACCCTCTGATGATACCCTACTTTTTACCCTACTTTTTATTGTATCAAACATTTCTATTGAGACACTAAAAAGACCTAATTCCAGTGCAGGCTGCATGCTAATGCTAATGCTAGCTGGCAAAAAGTGAGCATGTCAAAGGGAATTCTTTCATTTAAAAAAATACTTTATTAGTTAACACCCTACATTAGCATACTTTATATTAGCATAATAACATGCTGTACATAATGCTATGAGTAATGAATGAATCATTTTGTGGACACATTAATCAGCTCTAGACCAAAGTCTGTACGTGCCTGGTTTTTTGGTGAATGGTGAGGTGAACGTATCCAACTAATGATGGCAGTGAAGCGCCAAAAAACAGTTTGACAACCGCCAAAAAACATCAGAAGAAGAAAGAGTTTCTGTTGTTTTGTTTTTTTTTTTATGGTTGAGATTAGCTGTGGTGGAGCCTGGGAATCTGTTTTATGTTTTTGAACTGCTGCATCATTTGGTTCATGCAGGATAAATAAAATTTCCGTTGCATCTACAGTATACCTTTACTGCACCTTTTTTTTTTCACTTTCTACATGCTAAAGTACAAAGTTAACAGATGAGAGTTCAGCCAAGTTTGACAATGCAGAGCTGAGTCTGATCAACAGCAACCACAGAGGATAAAACAGTCTGATTTCCTGTGGCGCCACTCTCAGGTCAAACTTCCTCACCTCACTTGAGTAAACCCTCTGCCTGTGTGTTTTGTCTCTGTCCAGTCATCGGCAGACCTCCAGAGGCTGGAGAAGAGGGAGCAAAGCGGGATCACACAGCCCAGCGTGTTCTGCAGTACTATGGGAAGGAAGGACAACGACTGTGGGTCCTGGAGAGGAGGTAACATTATTTACTTCCACTTATGAATTGCTCATTTTACTTATATGGATGTCTAGCGCAGCTCACACTGAGTCAGTATGTGGGAGCTTCTTACTCAAAAATAACAGAAGTGCTCAACAAATAAGTATAAAGTAATAGTAATTTACAGTGACTGTTTTAAATGTTTTCACACAGCAGGAAATCACTTGTGTCTTTCTCTCTGATGGTAGATGGTGACGACCCCAAAATAGACCTCCACACTGACGAAAAGCCCGGGAGCTTCAACCGGAGCCCACAATGCACCACCTCAGAAACTGATAACTCGGTACGATATCCGTCTTCTCGTTTATCCTCCTTCTCTCTGATTCTGTTCGGATGTTTTGTCTTTCAGTATTTTCTTTATTTAATATGTGGAATTGTTTTTGTGGCTCTTTGACACATGAGGACAGACCTGGATTTTTCTTCCTCTTCTTGGTAGTTTTCAGTCCTCTGTGTGATATAAGTTCAAACTGTCTTTTTTTGTGATAAACAAACTGACATTTTTTTAAATGGTCACCCTATCTTTCTTGTGCACTGTCTTATCCTCATGTTCACCCCTACGTCTCGAACACGACCGCCAACACCTCTTCCGTTTTGTCACGTGTGTCCAACATTCGACTCAGCCCGGGGACAACTCGCTCCGCCTTGAATCTGCTTCTCTCTGTGACAGCGCCGTCGGTGCCGGTGATGATGAGGTGAAGAAGAGTCACAAGGGAGGGAGCTGTGAGGACGACGAAGAGGGCCACCTGGTCTACGACGTCGGCCTCGTGATGAAAGAGAGATGTACTCAACACCTTCCTTTATCTGAATGTGTTTTTTTGTCCTTGTTATTTGATGTGGTGACTTTCTAACACGGCAACATGAAGGTAACTCTGCATTCACACCACCAGCCACTCCAGAAATAGTTTTCTGTCGCCTCATTGTCTTTGTTGGTGCAGAGAAGTTGGCCGGAGGTCACAACACTCACATCCTTCAGTGCTTACGAGCTAAGATTTCTACAGCAGCTGGATCAATGTGGTTTTTAGTGGTGTGAACACAGACGCAGCCAAGAAAATTACACAACTTTTTTTAATTTAACATTAACTACATTCATTTGGAAGCACGTTACAGCCTGAAGTCGGTCTGTATGTTCTCAATCCTGTTTATTTTTGTCCTCCTTCAAAGATCCTTTTGTGATTTTTTTTCCCCACTCACCACTGCACGACCCTTTCAGTACACTGCTGCTTACGCTGCTGACCCTCATTAATGTCTGTGTGTTTCTCCCCAGATGAGGTGGTCTCTACACTGGGAGCAGGAGCCTTTGGAAAAGTGGTGGAGTGTATTGATAGAGACAAGTAAGCAAACCAGAAGCACTGTAATCGCCGTGTTAACTGAATGCATCATTAGTGCAGTTACTTTTTTATTTTTTTAGTCTTATTCTGAACTTGTGTGTGTGTGTGTGTGTGTGTGTGTGTGTGTGTGTGTGTGTGTGTGTGTGTGTGTTCAGCAGAGACGAGCATGTGGCTGTGAAGATCGTGAGGAACATCGAGTGTTTCCGAGAAGTAGCGAGGTCTGAGATCGCAGTGCTGGACGAGATCAACCGCCTGGATGATGACAACAGATTGTGAGTGTAACTGCAGCAGACGTTCAGAGTAAATCCTGGAAGGCTAATAAGTCTACTACAATTATTACATTTTACCATGTATATCTTTTCTTTTTTAGGTAGGTAAGGATAACTCAGTTTTTGTTTTTAAAGTGACAATAAAGCGCAAAATAAGTTTAAGATCAATTTTTGCTCTTCAGCTTCTTCAGTTATGTAAAGCCAGGCCTCATGTTCATGGATCACTTCCTCTCTCTCCTGCCAGCGCCTGCGTCAGGATGCTGGACTCGTTCGAGCACGAAGGCCATATCTGCATCGTGTTCGAGCTGCTCGGCCTCAGCACCTTCGACTTCCTGCGACAGAACGAGTTCCTGCCGTTCAGCGTGGAGCAGATCAGACACATGGCCTTCCAGATCTTCAGAGCCGTCTGCTGTGAGTCGAGTTGAGTGTGTGTGTGTGTGTGTGTGTGTGTGTTTAACAACTTCTTACCAGCCCTGTGACCTCTGACACCTGACCTGCTCATCGTGGGTAATTTTTCATGGTTGTCGATCTTGGAATTGGACATTCTTTGTTCTTAGTGGAGGTTGTTTTTTATCTCCGTTTGTTGGTGACATCATCCAGCAGCAGCCAATAACATAAACAAAACAAGCACTTCAATATTCAATTAGTTGTAATTTATTAATACGTTTTTTCAAGTATATGTAAAAATGTATTATTTAAATATTTAAATGTTGTATGTTTTTCTTGGTTTTACTCAATTGTGATTACAATGTGACTGTTCCAGGAAAAAGAAATCACGATACATTACGGACCATGATGGACACTTTTCATTTACTTATTAGATTTGTCACGATATCAGAATTTAACTACACAATCATCGTGACCAAAAGAAGAATTTGAAAACAAAAATGAACAGTCACTTTCTTCTTCATCTGTTTGTTGTGTGTTTTGCCTCTTTTTTGTCAAATGAATTAGACTGAAATATGAGTGTAGGGAGGTGGGCGATCGTCTGTAACCTCTGACCGAGGAATGTAAGAGAGAAAATCAGAGCGTCGCAACACGTTCACCGTTTTCAGATTTTACTCTCGCTTAACAAAAACGCAATAACAATGTGTGGTATTTTTTTATGTGTTTTACAGTCCTGCATCGTAACAAGCTGACCCACACAGACCTGAAGCCAGAGAACATCCTGTTCGTGTCCTCCGACTACGACTACAAGTACAGCGATGAGACGGTAACAAGCTGTCAGAAAATACCAACTCAAGCTTCAAAAGTTCATGCTGTCATTTCAAGGTTTGCCAAGTATTAAAGGGTGTTTAGCTGTGTGTGTGTGTGTGTGTGTGTGTGTGTGTGTGTGTGTGTGTGTGTGTGTGTTTGTTTGTTTGTTTGTTTAAGGAGAGGAAGCTGAGGAGTCTGGATGTAAAGGTGGTGGACTTTGGCACCGCTACATTTGACCATGAGCACCATGAATCTCTGGTGTCAACACGCCACTACCGAGCTCCAGAGGTCATACTGGGTACACACACAACTCTCACACAAACACACACACACACACACACACACACACACACAGAATTACTAAACTGGACTGGAGTTGAGCTGCAGGTTAATTAATCCACGTTTTTATTTTTACCTGTGTGTTTGTCCTCAGATCTGGGCTGGAACCAGTCATGTGACGTTTGGAGTCTGGGCTGCGTTCTGATGGAGTTTTACCTGGGACGTACACTCTTCGCGGTACGCACAAACACACGCATGTACACATACACACACTCACACACACAACACACGCGCACGCTCGCACACACACAGAAACAGCATTGAGACCTTCTGCTTTTCTGTTGTTTCAAGACTCACGACAGTAAAGAACATCTGGCCATGATGGAGAAAATCCTGGGACCGATTCCTCCCCACCTGCTGAGAAAGACCAGGTAACCACACACACACACACACACACACACACACACACACACACACACACACACACACACACACATTATTTATACCTATTAAATCTTCCTTTTCTGCATGTTGCTGACATTGCAGAACAAACAAGCACTAACATCCACTTCAGCAGTTTTATATCCACATTCCCATTTACTCCTTGTCATGTGAGTGCATCAAGATAAACTGGTGAGGCTAATTTTCTATTAAGGTGCCATTATAAGGAGGGTGAAATGAGATAACATGATTAAAAGTCTCCAGTCAATCCTCAAATGATTCAAAACCATGTGGAACATGTGATGTAAATATCTACATCTACTGTATGTTTGGTTCATGGTTCATCGGTCCGAACAGATCTGATGTAGAAGCTTGTGTGATGTTTAAGTCACATTTTCTATCAAATTTCTGTCTGTCACCTGTAACCAACTACAACCCATGTGTGTGTCCTGTGTTGTGTGTAGGAAGCAGCATTACGTGCACAACCAGCGTCTGAACTGGGATGAACAGAGCTCCACCGACGATTACATCAAGACACACTGTAAACCACTCAAGGTACACAGCACCCGTATCAGCCAATCAGCTTGAGGCCGTGAGGTAGAGTTGGCAGCGACAGGAAGTGAGAGTAAGTGTCTGTCTCTTAGCAGTACATGCAGAGGGAGAACGAGGAGGAGCGGCAGCTGTTCGACCTGCTTGGCTGCATGTTGGAGTACGACGTCTGCAGGCGGATCACTCTGGAGGAGGCGCTGTGGCACCCGTTCTTCAGCCCACTGAGGACGCAGAGCCATCAGCGCAGTTAGCACACACACACACACACACACACACACACACACACACACACACACACACACACACACACACACACACACATATTCAGCATCTACCTCAGACTACCATCAGATTTCAGCATTGTGGTTACTAAACTATTTTGGTTTATAATTCTGTATTGATGATTGTTTGGTTGATTGACATATACAGTCATAATATCAGTTGTGGAGAGCAGAGCATTCCTGTTTATTTCAAATACATTTGCAGTCTGCATGTCATTGTAAAAAGTCACTTTTAATGCAAAACAATTCCATGTGTTCCTTCATTGATTCTCAGTCACTTGTGTCAGAAGTTTGTTAATAAATATTTTGCATTTTGTTGTCTCAATTCTGTTTTATACAATGAATTACTACTGTTATTCACCTCTGCTCACACGTCGTCAGACATGGGTAGAAAAGTCACATTAATGTTTGAGTATCAATGCCTTGAAGTTTGTATATTAAAGGAGCTGCTTGTAAGATTTGCTACTGCTACATAGCAACATTAGCATTAGCAGCTGTTTATTTCGCAGCCAATGTGGCGTTTATGAGACAAGAGGTTATAATACATTCTCTGAGCAGAGCTACTTCTTCAGGGCAGACTGGAAGCTCGGTATCGGAAAATGACGAGATGGGCCCACGGGCTGGGGCTAGCTGGTTAGCATGCTAACTTCAGTAGAAGAAATGAAGTGATACAAGTAGAAGCAAAACAAGAGGGTTGCTTTCCACCACTGGTGGCAGTTCTTGATGAGTAAGGGAATGAAGTTTGATGCTGAACGTGCATGTTTCTTCTGGACTGGAAAGTAAACACCTGTTAATGCTTAAGTTGGATGTGTAGTTTATATGTGTGTAGTGTAGTATAATAACAAAACCTACATGTAGCTCCTTTAAATTTGGCCATCATTTCTATCACTTATAATAATGTTGTTCTCACAACTCATCACTTAAATCTGGAAACATGGCAACATTCCCACAACAAACAGACAGCTGATGAAGTCTTGCAGTTGGATTAACAGTAAACCACTTCATCTAGAGTTAAAACAGAAAATTCTGAGGTTTCTTTAATAATCCTGCACTGCACAGGAGAAGTGTGCACACTCAACTATTACAAGTTGTCACAAGTCAGGTACGGGCAACAGGGAAACTGAGGGCATCTGGTGGAGGAAAGAGACAAAATAAAACATACACCCTGCACAGGTTTCCTGCTCACATTTAGAGTTGCCAGTTTACCTGCATGTCTGAGATATGATAATTATCATTGCATAAATGTAGCTGTGATTTTTTCTTTTTTCTTATTTTCTTCCTTTTGGTGTCCATATGTATAACACACCAGAACTCCTGATCTTGCCTCTTGTTCAGTTTGTATTTTTTAATAATGTAGTGTCTAATCTTATCATAATATAGATTGGCTAGTAGTGAGAGTGTTGTCTATATTCATGTAACATTTTGTAGAGAGGGTAGGTGTAATAAACCAATATTGTTTTGTTTTATTTCTATGTGTATTTACTATGTATAAATATTAACCTTGCCTGATAACCTGTCTGATCGTCTGACTGCTCATGTTTCCTCCTCTACGTAATGAGGAAGTGATGGTAAAAACTACAAAAAAAATAAGACAAATAAGAAATGTGTTGTCCCAACAAGACAACAAACCACAGAACCTTTTTAACTGTATAAGAAAACAACCCCCCCCCCTCCCAGAATGACATCCAAAGGTAAATTAGCTCCATTTCCACCCAGCTGATTAGACTTTATGTCGACACCACAGTCTGTCATGCAGAAGTAAATGTTGGCCATCTAACCTGGAAATCCCTGACATCAACTGATTTAACTGCTTTGTTGATTCAGACTGCTGACACGTAAAGCGGGCGATATTTATCAAGATTCAAGCAGCCGAGGAAGTTTCCATGACTGAATAGTTATCCAGCTATAAAAAATTACATGTGCAAGCAGATAAACAGCGGGCTCGTCTGCTATCTGGGAGACATCAGCTTAAAGCTACTAAATCACATGGATGTAATAAAGCAGCATAAAACGGCCGAGGCCCATAATTTGTGTATAATGTTGTGGGTTCCAGTCTGTCTCATGACCTTTGCTGTGTGTTGTTTGTGGTCTGTCCTGCTCCAGTTTTCTTGGCACAGAAAAGACAACACAAATCTGAAGCCAAAAAACTGTGATTTGTTGGGATGTAAATTCTGGAGGATAAGACTGAGCTTCTTATTTTCTGGTGGTAAACCGAGAGATCTCTAACTTTCTAACTTTTATCTGATGTTGCCATCATGAACGTAGCGTTGGATTTGGTTTTTTAGATGATGGTCAAAATGATGCATTAGTAAAGCCTCTGTAGATTGTGATATTTGGAGAAGAGCTGCAGAAGCTTTCAGCTAATTCTTCACACTTTAAACAGGACGCAGAGCTTTAGCTGAGCTGCTCAGTTAATGTATAACTTTACTTCTTAACTTCAGCTTTGTCTGTTGTTATAACTGGTTGCTCTCAGTGCATGTTGGATGTTGAATTATCTTGAGATACTTGTTCTATGTGTTTGATGGTTTTCTTTTATTAAGTCAAGCCAAATCCTGAGCAGTGATGGCAGATTGGACTGACAAAAAGGAGTCCAATCAGAGTCTAGAACCTGCTCATGCCTTAAAAGCAAAACTATTTAGCGACAAATCAGATATAGAAAGTCAGAAAAATGTGACACGTGGCTGTTGACATGTGTGACTCTGAACGGTAAAGTATTTACAGGACATGTGGCAGCGCTGTGTGACACCAGATGCTGTCAGGGTTGACATACATAACATACAGAGTCAAGGGCTCATTTTATGAAGTATATCAAGTCACCAGTCACGACAGTGTCAGTCAGAACCAAAATTCACTCTCTGTTACTGCAGAAAAATAAATCATTGGTAATTACAATTTTTACCAACAAGTACACAGATCAAAAACACCAAGGAAGTGTATTCTGAGTCCCAGTCATCAAGGTCATGAGAGAGCGAAACCAAGGCAACTGGACTGGTGGAAAAATTCATTTCAGTTTAGGTTTGACTTTATTTTCTCTTTCATTTTCAACATTAAAGCCCTCTCTTTGTGGGGCTTTCCCTGGGCTGCAAACAGGCAGAATCCTGAGTAGGTTTCTGTGGAAGATCAGACTTGCAGTGAGTGAGCATAAAGTCAGTGAAAGCCCCTCGTACACTCACTGGAACATGACTAAACCCTCATGGACATCTCAGTGGCGCATGCCGAAGCCTGTGAAACTGGATTGTTGAACTTCCTGCCTCCTGCTGCCACTGTCCTCTGACCCCTTTAGTCCCACAGGGAAATATCTGTACATTTTACTACACTGATGTCACATTAATGAGTCTCCTGCCCCCTGTCACTTTGCCACAGATCGTCTGTGTTCTTATCACTTAGCAGGTAAGCTGACTCGGGGCTCTGCTTTTGTTAAGGTAATTTATCTTTGGAGCTCCTTCATTTTCTCCTGCAAAGAGATTTGGCTTCCCTGTGGGTTTACATAAAACCATTTTAATTAATAGACAGCTCATGTTTTTTGCCCAGTCTGACTTACTGTATTTGTCTCAGATTTCAGCAAATACTTTGGTGTGTACAATATAATTGTAACTAAAATAAAAATCTATCAAATAGTTGTTGAGATATTTCAGTCTAGACCAAAGAGGTGGACCAACCAGCAGACCAACACAAAGCTAGCACACTGCACAAGCATGGCTAAAAAATAAGCTGCAAAAAAACCTGGATTTCCTTGAATGCCACATGATATTTGTCATTTGTTCACTGCCAACATATTTTACAGATACATTAGTACTGAACACATGATGATGGATGGATCAAAAACCACAGTAAAGGAATTGGGAGCAAAAGTTTTGAGTTTAAAAATTTTATTAGTGGTTTGGTCTCAGGCCTGAAGGGAATGGGTTGAATCGGGCTGAGGCCCAGTAGGAGGACAAAAATCGTTTGTATGAATTATGAAGAGTGTTCCATTTCAAATTTAATATTTACAAATTTAAACACAAATTTGAAATAATACTTAATAGTAATATGTATTAATTTTGGCTTAAAGACCTCTGTTTTGTTAGCCTCTTTCATAAGTCACTCGTGGCAGACGGTGCCACAGTCTGAGCCTCATTGTTGCAGGTAATTGGCAACAGTGCGGGGTTAACGGCATCTAGACCAGAAACACAGGCTTGAGTCTGCACAGGTTGCTGAGGGTCGTATCTGTCTGTGGTACCTTGTGATCCAGCAGCCAACAACCTGCCTGTAAAGCAGGAAAACATGGCTGCTAACTGCAGCCGCACCTCCTTTTGCCAAAAGGCATACACCAGGGGGTTGATCAGTGAGTTTGACAGTCCCAACAGCCACAGATAATTCTCCAGCACGCCAGCGAGTTGACAGGTTTTACACAGAACGTGCACTATGCACACCACAAAGAAGGGACACCAGAGCACCAAGAAGCAGCCCACGAGCACCGCCACCGTCCTCAGGGCCTTGACGTGACTCCAGTAACCACTTCTCAGCTGCTGGTGCTGGTGGTGATGTTGATAATGCTGATGGCCGTGGTGGTCAGCCGTCCTGGAGCCTGCTTGCCTGACTTGACAGATCTGCTTCTGGTGGCTGCAGGCGATCTTCAGGATGTCCAGGTAGATGTAGACGAACACCGAGAGCACGGGGAAGAAGCACAAGCTGAACAGGACGATGATGCCAACTTCATGAATGACGGAGAAGAAGGCGCAAAAGCCGTCGTAACCCTCCGCCTGCAGCTGCCGCACCATGACTAAGTAGCAGAGGACATGGGTTAACGGCTACGTACACATGGGTTATCAAGAGAACAGTCTTCACACAAAAATACAACTTAACAATCAGGAAAAGTCCCCCAGCAGCAGTCATTCAGGAGGCCACTGGATACTGGCTCCGAAAAAACCATGACTGTATTGAGGGGAATGGGAAACCCTGTTGGAGGTCGTCTCTTATTTCAAATCAGACCCAGGTGGTTTCACCCTTAGATGCATACCTAAGGTCATACTGTATTACACCCTTTCTAGATCATTAATTTAATTCAGCTCAACTCTCTGTTATAACTGAAGCTAGAGTTGCTCAATAGCAGAGGAATGTAACCCAACAGATACTGAACATCAATGTAACATAAGGAAGTTAGACCCTAACGACTCTAAGGTCGGACAGACTTTAAATTCAGGTTGATGTCAAAACCCAACGTTGGCTAATTGACATTGTGACGTTTAGCAGATGTTGGGTTTTGCCAATCACTACAATGTCGGATGTAAAGATGGAGTTGGCATGAGGCGTTTGGAAGACATTGGATTTACTTAACAACAACTTAAACCCAAATAAACTATTAAGGTCAGATATCGAAGTTTGGTCACCCGATGTCACAACCTCTGACAATGTTGGTGGCCAGCTGCGTGTTGGCAGCCTGATAACCAGACGAGAGATGACAAGTGCCCAGTCAGCGACAGTCAGTTACTGTTAGTATAATAGATAAATGGTATATTTTATAGAAACAGCAGTAGCCTCCACATCCTCAACATCATTGGTACATCTGGAACTACTTAACTTGGTCTCTGGTGGATGACCATATGCTAGGACAGATGTACTGTATTACAAAATGCAGGCTCTTCTCAACAAGACCCCTGAAGCTGAAGTAGTTTTAACTTTTGCAACAGTGCAAGGCAACATCAGTTTCTCACCTGGCAGGAATCCCACAGTGATGGCGCTGATCCACAGAGCCAGCAAGGACCCGACTGCCGTCCCCTTCCCAGACAGCAGAGAGTATCGCAAGGGCATCTTGATGGCCGCGTAGCGGTCCAGCGAGATCAGGAACATGGACATGATGGATGCCGTGCAGGGCGAGGTCACAAAGGCCATCCGCATCAGACACCGGTTCTTCCCCTGAGCAGGAGGCGTGGTGTTTGTGGGAAGACCAGCAGTGACCTGGTTCTGAGGGATAATGTTGTTGTTGCTGTTGAAGTCTTCTGTGGCCAGGCCAGTGATGGCCACACCCACCAGGGCGTCGGCTAGAGCCAAGTTGAGGACAAAGCACCAGCTCTGGCTGCTCTTCTTAAGGAGCAGCTTTAGTAGAGCGACCGCCACCACCAGGTTGGTGGAGATGATGAGGCAGGCGGCGATGCTCAGGATCACGCCCATCATGCGAGGCCTCACTTCGCTTTGGTTTGTGGACTGGTTGGAGTCTATGCAGTCAGGGGTCATGTTGACGGCGGGCTCAGTGCCTGCTTGTCCAGTCGAATATAACATGTTGATGTCAAAAAAACCAACAAACTTTAATAAGGTGAAATTCACAATGTTGAGACGCGCTGACACTGTTTTAATCAGAGTCAGTTTTATCCGTTACAGTCGTTGACCATCATAACACATAATGTGGCTCTTGCAGTAAATTACAATCAGAAAAGATTTGTACAGATGTTCAAAAACAAACTAGGTTAAAACTTTGAGAAAAATTGACTGTAAATAATGTTGTGAAAGACTTATACTGAACTATCAAATATCATATAAAATTACTTGCTCCAGTGGCTTAACATGTGACTGCACTTAAATGGAAAAGATTTCAATCGTCAAACTGTTTTGTTGAAGAATCTTCTTGGCCAAACTCCTCCTGTTATTCCAGTGTCTTGTGACGGTTCCTCACTGACTGATGTCAAAGTCCTAGAAACTTGTTCCTGAAACATCCAGTCGATCTCACCAGTCTCATCACCGTCCTTTAAATCTCCATCCCAAATGCAGTAGGAGAGAAGCACTCACAGTATTATCAGCAGGTCTCGTTTGTCCCCTCCCCTCACACACACACACACACACACACACATACAGCCTATAGACCCACACACACACACACAACTCCATAAACACATATGTAAGTACCTTCCACTGCTTATCCGTTGCTGTTGCTGCGTCACTGGGACTGAGACTGACCCTTGTCCCAGCCGCCTGCCTGATCCCTCCCAGGCAGGAAGATCTCTATTTTTAATAATCAACTCACTTTTATTTATTTTTTAATCCAGAAGATTTTTTAAACTAAGGCTTGATCACAGTAAATGTTATACAGAGAACCAATTCTTACTTAATTTGGGAATTGATAAATGAATGAATGAATGAATGAATGAACTGGGCTGGTTCAGAGTTATTTGGACAGGCTTTTAGTTTGATAACTCGTGTATGTTGCTCGCTCCATTTGGGACTGTCACTCATTGAAAACTGAAAAAAAAATCTGATTTGTGTTGTTTGGCAAAGTTTGTTTCCATATGTGTAATGTGCTTATTGTTGCCCCTTGGAGGAAACAACACCTGTGATTCTCACCGACCATCAAGTTGATGTTCAAACATTTTCACCTCTGCCAAAGGTAAAAAAAAACTTATTTTTTTTAAATTCTGGTTTCTATTCAAAATTTGTATCTGCAAATTAAAAATGTGCATAAAACAACTTTTTCAGGATGCATTTAATTGTTTCCTTTGATTTTTAAAAACTTTTAAAAATCAGTCAGGTCTGGTCTTTCATAAAAGGCAGTGAAACACAGTATCTTTAGACTGAGTGTAATAAAGAAAAACTGTGCACCACCCTGTGCACTGCAGCAAGCTGAGCACTCTGTAGGTTGCAGCTGTAATGTAGATGAGTGTCCTACAGTGGTGCAGTAATAAACAGTAACAGCGGAGGTTCTGACTTTTCACTGAGCGCGGTGTAAAAGAAAAAAAACGCCCGGGAGCTCCACGATATTTGTGTGTGCAGCTTCAGGTTTACTAAAATTCATTCAGTGTTATAAAACACACACAGCTACAGCCGTGTTTGTGTGCCATATAAAGCTGAATGGGCTTAGTTAAACTCTAACCCTGCTTGGCTGCCGTCCCATTCAGGCCCCAGGGGAGACATCTGGCATGATGGGACCATTTTCCACCAGGATTCACACACAAATAGATCTGGCTAATGATGCTCTCTCTCTCTCTCTCTCTCAGTCTCTCTCTCTCACTGCACAGACTCAAAACATGTGGCATCACATCAGCTTCTCAAACTGGTGAGCAGCAGCTACAGTATGATATGAGAGAAAGTATCAAAGGAAAAACACAAAACAGAGTGATTTGAGACTTCCCAAAATTTAAAGTGGTCAGTGATTAGTCGTGCTTGTGAGTATAGCATTGACCTTTTAGCTTTGTCTCAAGGAAATAGTATTTCACTTTTGGTTACGTAAGTCAAAATATTTCAGACTAAAACAGGATGTCGGAGGCGGCCACACACTCAAGGATGGACTCATCATCGATAAGAATTTCAGAAAGTAAAAACTCAACTGAAAATGACTCATATTTTAAGAAAAGGAAACAGATTTTCCCCTAAAATGCACACCCACCACTTACAAGTTTATTCAATTGCAGGTATTCTATAATGAAGGGAACTGTGAAAATAATGAAAGTTTGCAAATCAATATTTTTCTGACATTTGCTCATTAAGTGGCATTTTTTTTCATTTCACTTATATATGAGTGTCAGCAGAGTCTCTTCACAGAATTGCTTATGATTTTTTTGCTAAATATTGTAAATTGTGTTCATTACATTTGTCTGCCAATTACTTAATAACATAATAAGACAATTTAAAGTATTAGTCCAGGTATGGTTCACATGCTGCATGTAATATAGGCATGAATTAGGATCAAACACATGTGACTACCAAGAGAAAAGGATGTGTCTCTTTACTCCAAACCAGCAAATCAGGGTTTTATGTCAAGGCAGAGAAGGTTGAGGAGAACAACAAGCAACGAGATTCAAAAAGCTTGACCATGACTAAGTGCTTAGCTGAGTCGACAGTCCGGCAGTGGTGGCGTTGGAGCTCGGTATTTAAAGCAGAGGTGATTGGAGATGATTTGCACTTTGCAGCCTGACACCTGCACACCCTATCCCACTGCTGTAATCAGAGCACAACATGGGGGGGGGGGCGTGACAGTGACGTGGTCGCAGGGTCCTCATATTGTGCGTGCGTGCGACATGTCACATGTCAAAATGTCTGCTGTAAAAAAAAAAGGTCTATGATTTGTTGATTTGTTATTGTTGATCCTCTGACTTTAAATCTAGCGCCATCATCAAACTAACAACATTCCCATCAGCTTCACGCATACTTTTTGTTGAGTGCTAATTAGCAAATGTTAGCATGCTAACACACTAATTATGGTGAATCAACATTACTTGCTAAAAATCAGCATGCTAACATTATCAGTGTGACCGATGTTAGCATTTAGCTTATAGCATTGCTTACTGTGGAGTCTTGTGAAAAATGTGCAGATAGTTAACTGGACTTTGGTAGAAAATTTGAATGTGTTATGTCAGTCTGACTGTTAAGTGTTTTCACACCTTCTCAGTCAGTCACACAAACACATCCTCCAACTTCAACACTGCAGTCCCAGCCAGCCCAGAGCAGCAGAGCACAGTTTCACCAGGTTCAATGTGAGTCCACAGCAACCTGAGAGGAAAGATCCTCTTTTTATTACCCCTCTAATCGCCCCCTCCTCCCTCCCGACAAACCAAAATAGCTCTAACAGACACACAATGTAGGAATGTTATTCACCCCTGCTAGACCTTTCAGGACCTTTCAAAACAAAGTGTGGGTCAGCAGTAATTGTGCCCAGTGCCCAGCAGCACCCAGGGAGCCGGGATCCTGTTTACACCTCTGCCAACGCCATCCTCCACCCGCTGTGACGGATACTCGTAACTCCACCTCAGACTGGGATCTGGTTTGAAGGAACTTTTGAGCCAAAGTGAGGAGTTCTCCAGTTTTGGAAGGAAAACGTTCTTCGTGCAGGATTGTTAAGGTGATGATGATGATGATGATGTTATGTGAGTGATACTGTCGGGGTGATGATGATGATGATGAGCGGGGGTTCAACAGGAGCAGGGTTCAGCTGCCAGTTCCTGTTGTTGTTCCACATCAGTGTGGCCTGCAGCAGAGTTTGAGTTGTGTCAGAGGTCTTGAGGTTGTCTCAAGACCAGAATCCCAAATTTAGTGTCCCCTGTGTTTACTTGTTACTTGCTTGTTTCTTTCTTTAACCCTGCTGCTTCAATTCTGTTCTGGTCACACAGAGGACGACCTGTGATGGGTAACTTAAATGATCATAGTGTAAGACTGTAAGATAATGTGTTTACAACCTATTTCAACATAAGTGGGGAATGTAAACATCAGTAACAGCATTTCAGGTGTTTTTAGAGATCAGATCATCGAGATGGTTAAACTTCAGTGTCCCCAAAGTTTGTTCTGAACTTGGCAAAACTACATTTTTATACTAGATGTCTCTGGGCTTGGAATCATTTATTAGACAAATTTAACTTGGAAACACTGCTGTAATACCGAGCACTCAAATGCCTCATTAAAAATGTCTTAACAGTTTTAACTAGTCCAGTTTTCACCTTTCCATCTCTCAGGCCCTGTACTATTGTGTGAAAGCTGTAAATTATTTTTTATGTTCTAACTGTGCTGCTATTCTGACCAGTTCTCTTTTGTAGACAGGGTAATGAAAGTCAAGAGACTTCCTAGTTAATTAAATGGTAATTAAAATACATATAATATGGCTTCCTATAGCCAGCAAAAAACAACACATCAACCTTTTGTTATTGTTATCAATAGACTTCTGGACAAAACTGCAGACTTGAGCATTTTGTTGTTGTTTTTTTGAACTTAGGCAACTGAGTGAACAAATGGAGTCAGACTCGTAGTCTGTAAAGACGAAAGGTTTCATAATAAGTGCATTCTGAATGTATTGATACTTCAGACACTTTGAATGCTTTGGTAGAATGCCAGACCTGAAAAATAAGATTTCAAGAAAGCATGTCATTTTTCTCTGCTTTGTGTCAGTGCACAAATCAACAACAGTGTTTTTTTTTTAGTGTTTGGACCAATATACAGTACATTTCCCTGTCATGTCTTATCTGTCGTATGTGAAAGTGATAGCAGTGAGCCTGTTTGCATTTGTGTCCCTATCAGACTGAAGATGTCTTTAAAGAGGCGGCTGCTGTCCATGTTGTTGTGCTGTGTTTACTGTGTGGCCTCGCTCTTCTGCCTCCACCCGAACCGCAACAACTGCTTCTCTGTCGGAGCTCGGTGAGTGTATGTGTGTTTACATATTATACATGAACAAACGTATTTGTTACATTGACTGTTGTTCTACAAACCCATCGTGTTGTACTTTGGGAAGATTTTCTGTTTTTCTGTCTCCAAGAATCGTCACCTTAACGTGGTTTGTGTGTCCCGGTGATCCTGGGAGCCGTGTTGTTTGGTGGTAACAACCCATGGTAGGGTCTCCCAGGGCAAATTAGTCCCAAGGGAGAGGCCAGACTAAGAGTTATTCATACAACCTGAAAGACATTTTCTTTTTTGGAAATGTATCACCTAGCCTGAACCAGGGAAACCGGGGCCCCTTCCTGGAGCCAGACTTGTGAGGGCAGTTCACTGGCAAGCATCTGGTGGTCAGGCCTTGACCCACGATGCTCAGTGCAACTAGATATAGTTGGTAAAAAGGAAGGGTCACCTCTACACGAATACAAGATGGCCGCTCCATCAGTGTATGGGTGTGATGTATGTATGAGTGTATGAGTGAATGGGTGAATATGGCATGTATTGTAAAAGCGCTTGCAGTGCAGTCCATTTTCCCTGAGTAGTTCTTTGTTATTGGACTTCTGTGCTCCTCATGAACTGGCCATAACAAACATTGTGTTTAAGCATTGGGTGGTTAATAAGTTCCCACTGTACCTGAACACCCTAGGCCTGAAATCAATGATCAGTTTTGTGATCAGATCATCAGATCTGCGGCTGTATGTCTTGGACACTCAGGTGACAAGAGGAGCAGAGCTGTCAACCGATCACCACCTGGTTGTGAGTTGGATCAGGTGGTGAGGGACAGACCTGGTAAACCCAAACGTGCAGTAAGGGTGAGCTGGGAATGTTGAATGGCAATGTCAGGATGAGGGAGAGAGAGATGCAACAAGGTCCCCTGCCGGACATGAAGCAGTTCAAGGGAAGCGTCTTAACCTCTAACCTATGGGGGCTTCCTATCCACAAGGTTTTGATTTAGTTTTAATTTTGGCCCTAAAGCCTGTGCTACAAGTCATTTATCTTTAGTCTGTGTTCCTTAAAAAATCCACTCTATTATGCACTCTGATTATTTGAACTTTACTCCCTATTCTCCGTTTTCCCTCCCTGCTGCTCTTTCCCTTCAGTCACCCTCCCTGTTCGCCTGTGTCTTCATCCCTTACTCTCACTTGTTTTCCTCTCCCTTAGGAATCTGGTGTCAGTCGTCCAGCAGCTTTACCAGCGAGTCATCCGGCTGCTGCGCACCACTCTGTGATCTTGTGTTTGAACCAATAACCTAACCCTGACCCTGACCCTGTCCTGTCGCTGCTGCGGTGGCTCTGGCTGCTGCGGCTGTCGTCAAGTATGCCCTCCAGCAGAGCACTGACAATTAAAAAGAAAAACAAGAAACAGAGGAAGAAAAATGGTGTTGCTCTACTCTTGGACTGTAACTCAATATTACCTGAAGTCACCTGCCCTGATCTGCTCACTACTGCATTTCTCTGACTGTATTTTAGCTGAGGAAGAGGAGAGTGTCTAAAAATGTCTATTTTTCTACTGATGAATATTAACATTATGGATATTTGCTGCATGAGCTGCAGGTGAGGTGGAGAGGGCATCAACTGTCCTCTTTTAAAAGCATTTTGAGGGTTCACTGGGAGCTTGGCTGCTCTGCTGTTAACTGCACATGCTGAGGAATGTAGCTTGAAGAAATATCTGTGTCACTGGGAGGTTACTGGTTGAAATTCCTGGACTGGCTTAAAGAATCTGTCATATGTGAAGGAGCAAAGTGTGAGTACGCAGTTCAGAGTGAAGCTTAAAATTAAACATATTAAAGGTCTTCACAGGTCGAAAATTTGGGAAAACTCTTAATTAAGAAAAGATCTGAGAGGAGACCAGATCCAAAGGTGACCCAAGGACGGTCATAATCAGATCTGATTCAAAATGTGGTCGACCTGAACAGAACCAAATTGAGAGAGAGCTCTAGCAGCAGTAAGATGCTCCGCCAATTACGGGGGAGCCACAGTCAAAAGAAGTAGAAATACTGCAAAGCACATCTGCAAGGATCCACTTGGGTATATGACATATTAACACAAGATCCATACCCATACAACAGCACCCTACCTACACCCTGTTAGACCGAATACTAGTTGGACCTCGCTCCAATACTAGGACCTGTGAGGGCGTATACTCACAAATACAGATACTCCATTACAGCACATGGCTTGTGCTTTGCAAATATGTGAAACAGCTGTAAGTGAAACATAAGCATCAGACAAGACAGCTTCCATTTAAAGTTGCCATAATGCCCTCCACTGTAAATGTACTGGTGAAATTTGAATTTGCCTAGCTAGAGACATTCTCTGTGAAGCTTCCTGTATAACAAGGCTGCACATGCAAATGACAAATTAGGTCAACGTGTGCAACGTTAGGCAACTAAAACTTCTTTAAGGGTTTGTTGACCCAATTTACATCCAGTATTTTCTTACTTACTTACAGTGGTTGCACGCTGATGCTGTTGTTTTGGATTTATTTATGCAGGTTTCAAGATATCTCTGAGATTTGTGCCTCCATGCCGATACAATGGAGGTAAATGGAATTTAGTTTGTAATCCTCAAAGCAATGAAAAATTACATTTAAAAAAATCCAGCAGCAAAATGTCTATCCAAACTCAATACACAATACACAAAATACTCTGGATAATCCACAGAAAACAGTAGTTTTTGTAGGGACTATTTCTTTGGAAGAAGACAGCCTGAGCCTACAATGACGTTGCTCGTCAGGAAAACATAAAAAAATAGGTTGTTTCGAGCTGTTTGAAAAAGACTGCTGATGTTTTGCTTTGATGAAGACAGGCTCTAATCCTTTGCATAGATGTTGAAAAAGATGAACAGTGCAGGAAACATGTTTGGTCACATCAGATGAGAGATAGGTTAAAAAGCTGCGGATTTGAATTTGTGTTGCTGCAAAACTGAGAAAGGGGAAGTGAATGAGTAAAAGCAGATTCAAGTAAAGTTAAAAGTATGACATCTGAACTTCCTGTATGATTTTAAGTATCTAAAGCAATACCTATAACAAGCGTTTTAGTGCAACCATTCAAATTAAAGTTGGAAATGTTTGAGTGAAGTGAAGGGGCTATAATATTCTGTGTTGCCTGAAAAGATGTTGTACTCATTGTGGTGGACAACGTTTCTTTTTCACACTTTTGTATGAACTGAGTGAATGTGTTAACAACTCCACAGTGGAGGTTAAAACTAGTCGTTTTTTGTCAAGGTGTTTGCTTAAATTAATGAAATTAAGAAAAAATCCAGTGGCTGTTGACCAATGGAGTGTAAACACTGGGATATGAAAATTATCCACTGAAGTGATATGATTAATGACCTAACCTGAAGTCCCTTAACAGTGTCTGGAGACTTTCAGTTATTTAATATCATGATTTAAATACTGTAGGCAGTATACTGTATATATAAATATACTGTAAACACTCCAATAAAGCAATAATAAATAATATAAATCAACAATAAATCTGTCGTTTAATTATTTATTATTTATATGGTAATGCCGTTGTAATGATGTTTGCAATAACCACTGCCTCAACATCAGTTATCCACCAGAACTGAGAGCAACTCTTGAATTGAGGCAAGAATTATAGTGTAATTATTCAAAGTCTTTCCACCTTAAACCAAAGAGTGGAGTCTGAGCCATGTGTGAGCTTTTTTTGGTCATGTGATACAGTTACTTTTTAGCTTTCATGTTACTGAACTGTACTAAACTAAAAGTTTTGTGTGCAAGCCATTTCCAATAAACTTTTAAGTTGAGTGAGCAAATTGGGATTTACAGTGTAGGCTGTGCATGAGGCAATGCAGCTTACCGTCCTTACCGTGTGACTCAGATTTAAACCTTTTTTTCACCTCTTACACTACAGTTTGCATTCTTTATCCCTTTTCCCTTTTTTCCCATCTCTTAATACTACTTCAACTGCTCTTTCATACAAATTCAGGCCAGCAACAGTTTAGTTTCAGCTTGTGCAGAAGCCAGCTATCCCACTGGGATTTCTTCAGAAATTGCTTTTTCTCATTTTTATATGTTCCTCTATATTTTTTATCCACTATGAAGACCATGATATGCTGCTCAAAGCTCTGGGAAAAGCTTGTGATGTTTCTTTTTATGTCAAATTCCTATGTCCACATGTAGTTATGTGATTCTTATTCAGGTCATCAGTTTTTTATTATAATTATTAGGTTGTAAGTTTTCCTACATTACATTGATGACCGTGATGACCTTGCTTGGAACAACGCAGTTTGTAAACAGGGCATTTTATTTTGAAAGTATTAACGGAAATCCTCTGTTTACCATTTCTGGTGCACTTGACATTAGCTGAAATGGGAAGCTAACAGCGGGCGTGAAGTTTTCTGCTTCCACTTTACCAAAGTCAAGTCATGTATACGTGTTAAATCATGGAAAACCAAGTCAAATAGCAGGTCGCGATATAGACATCGACACCACAGGCACGTGACGTCTCGGCTGAATGTAACGGTAACTAGTTGCTAATCGGTAACCTCGCTAACAAGTGGGCTAGTAATTTCCACAAGTGTTAGCTGACTAGCTGTTAGCCTAGCAGGAGCAATCTGTTTCGAGCTAACCGTTGGAAACAGTTGGCACGGACACCTCTATGATAAAGACTGTTAAACGGCACGGTTGTTTGTTATTAAAATCGCACATCATAACAAGTAGGGTGATTTATACTTAGTTAATTATGTGTTGATTATATGAGTATACTTGTTAACGATAATAAATAACTTTAATTCTAATTACACTGTTGCTGTCACTGTCAGTCATGGTTTGTCCTCCCCGACACACCAGCCAATCGAATCGTTGAAATGCTAGATTGACAGAACTAACAGCCAATAGTAACGCCACAACAAATATGATGGCTCTGTTAACAGTGTTCGACACAGCGGGCGTCTGTTTCCGGCGCAGTATGCTGGGATGCTGATGCTGAGGAGCTTCGTTGATCTGTAGCATCATTAGAGCTCAATGTTTCTCGACATGTTGTATTGTCTAAGTTTGCATCACTGTGTTGACCTCTGCCTGGGCGGCCTACTCTTGTTTTTAGCGGGGCTGCAGCAGGTGGAAGCTGCCGCCGCCGCCACGGAGATGACCAACTTGAACTGGAAGCCGTTCATCTACGGAGGCATGGCCTCGATTGTCGCAGAATTCGGTACGTGATGCACCACAACATGCAGACGCCGACCGAGATGTATGTTATTGGGATTAGACGCTATTATGAAACGGCAATGCATGATTTATGGAAATAAATCTTTTATATTCCGTGAATTTGCAGCCATAGAAAAATTCTGCACCAGCAACTGCTGGTAGCACAGGCTTCCAAACGGGAATGATGCACCTAGCTGAATTAATATCAAACCTTTGTGGTGCACACTGCATGCATTGTCCTGCAACTGCAAATGTACATAATACATAAAGGTTAGGTCAGGTTGTTGGTAAATACCCATACTGCTTACTTTATAATTTGCACAATACACAATTGCCTGCTAATTTCTTAATAGCATTTAACCTGGCAGGTACCCCTTGTTTTTTTCTTTAAGGTTTTATTATTACATTTGAATCACACAGTAAGGCAACTACTTAAAACAAAAAAAGTTATTAATTTATAGATCATCCCTTGAATGACAAAGATATTTAACCCATTTCCCATGTTGAGATTGAGAACATGAGCCAAAATGTAAAAGTTTTACTAGTTATTTTTGTCTGTATTCATGTTGCTATCTATTATGTTGTCATAATTTTCTTGTGTCATACAAAATGAGAAAGGAAATATGACATTTTCAGTACCTGGATATAGATTACAACTGGGGAAAGAGATTAAAAATGTATCATATTAAATGTAGCCTCACTTCTCGTTCCTTCATGAAATTATTACAACTATTGATTTAATCATCAGCGTCCCCATTGTCACCACCATTACTGTTAAAATTATCATAGCTACCTACCTCATCTGTCGATCTCATACTTCCCTGATAACACTTCCCTGATAACATTGAAACACATTTACCTATCTCACTTGCTCTCTCTCTCTCAAGTGATTAATATCTTCAACAACCACATAACCAAATCAGTTCACAACCTGTACGCCTCCTCTCTACCAATTTGTTGTTAATGGTCTATGTCTCACTGAAATTCTTTCGTCTTGATGTCTGTGTTTTTTGTTCTCCACTTGTCTTTCAGTTTCCATCTATGTCAAGTTTTGGTTGTGTCACATTCCACCAATAAAATAAAATAAGATGTATCATGCTTTGTGACTCGAATGTATTGATAATATATGAGTGATGAAAACTGGAGCTACCTGGTACTATGAACTAGTTTATCAATATTGTGTGAGGTTTTTCTGCTTATAATTGAAAGTTACAAGCCATGGTACAAATGCTAAATATCCTGTACGCCTAATCAACATTTCCATAAATCTAATACCTTTTTTTTTTTTTTTTTAAAATTAATTTTCTTTTTTTTCTTTTTTTTTTTTTTTCTTTTTTCTTTTTTTTATTTTTTTTTATCCTCAGGGACATTTCCCATTGACCTGACTAAGACTCGACTACAGGTCCAGGGTCAGTCCCAGTACACGGAGGTGCGCTATAGAGGCATGTTCCACGCCCTCTTCAGGATCGGCAAAGAGGAGGGCATCCGAGCGCTATATTCTGGGTATAAAACATTTTTTATGGCTCTGGGGACACAACACATTCTGTGTTTAATGTGGGCACTGCGGTAGATTTTTCAAGACCAGACCAAGTACATGCTGTTTTGGAGCTTATAGATACTGATACTGATGTGGCATGCCTCTATTGCCTATTAAGTTTTAAATCAATTGAACACTAAGTGGAGAAGAATCACTGCTGTAATTACTACTGAACCAGTGCTATTTTGGTAGATCTGCAATACATAGACTATCACTGACAGGGATGTGGATGTCATCAATGATGCTTACAACACAGGGGCAGTCCATTACTGCTGTTCAGTTGGTGGGAATATAATGAACAGGCTGTGATATAGCGTTAATTGCTTAATGAGGTTAATTCTGTCTGCACAGTATGTTCTGTGCCACTTTACCAGAGAACTCCTGTCTTTGTTAAATACACATCTGCTTCAGAATTACTACTCACCACAGTTTCTCACCTGAGGAGGGCTAGTGTGCTTTAAACTAAGACTCAAATCTTAAGTATAAGTCCTGGAGACTTAAGAGTTTCTGTAGAATTTCAGCAGTGGGGACTCTTAGGTCCAGAACACTGAATACAGCTTCACATGACTTGTTGTTCCCAAAGAGCTTTCAGTTAAACTCTAACATGCTGTTTAGTAAATCTAGTTACTATTTCTTGCTCCATGCTAATGGAAACAGCATGTGTTCAATGCAACATGCAGTAATGAGCTTTGCGCAGAGAGCTGTTGTACTTTGTGGGTGTTTGAACTGCAGATCTGAAAGGAGCTCAATGGGGCAGAGAATGTATTCCATTTTGAAACAAGATAAGAAGGAGCCTTTTTTTGGCTTTTAAAGCAGTGGGTGTGAGTAACAGACAACAAGCCTGGATGTCACACTCCTCGATGAAACTGAAATTTTGAAGATTTGCATCGTAAGCCAGGTGAAAAAAATTTGGCTGAGGAAAGTAAAGTAAAGCACCCTCTCCTCTTCTGCACCTGCGTTCTGTTTATCCACAGAGTAAAGGTTAATCAACATTCACAATCAACATAATGTACCTCTCCTCAGGATTTCCCCTGCTCTGTTGAGACAAGCTTCTTACGGGACAATCAAGATAGGAACCTACAACTCTCTGAAGAGGCTGTTTGTCAGTCATCCAGAAGGTGGGTGTCACTATTTCTCCCTTGAATATCCTGTATCCTGTCTTCTTCCTTTCTGATAACCTCTCCTATAAACTATTTCATCTTAAGGGTCTCCCATTCTCCCTACAGTGAAGGAGACTGGCTTTTTTATTCACAGGCTTCAGTTAGTGAGTCACAGAAGTCACTTGAAATCTCGGAAAGCATTTTCGACTACAAGATATTGGTTTTGCAAAAACATTCACAGACAGTTATTTGAGCTCGGCAGCTGGCCCAGCAGTGAACTATGGGTTGTGATTTGAATGATACTGACAAAGTGCAGAGCGTATATTAAATTAACAGTCATCCTTGCATCCCGCCTCTGTCTGGTTTAAGGCTGATGCAATCTCCTGTAAAGTATGTGCAGCATTATAAGCCCTCACCCAACCAAAACAAGTGAGCACAATGAGCAAAACTCCTTAGAGCCAACAACCTGAACTGACTAAGAACGGTGAGAGTAGCAGCAACAGATAAACACTGGCAATAGTAGCAGCTAAGTCATTTTCCTAAATTTCCATTTGATCCAGTGGTCAGGTGGTGTTATCCAGAGTGAAGTAGAGGAAGGTGCATCACAGCATGGTTGTGGCAGTTTAAATGATTGCATACAGTTTAGAACATGGGTTCATGGAATAACTTGCTGCTGTCAAGTATTTCATTTTAAGGATGCATCTAGTCAAAGTATTGTATTGAGTTGTATTAAGTTTATCTCATTACCATACCAGAACGATGTGTTTAGTGGTTTAGTGGAATAATAAATGCAAAAGTCACGCATTTAAAGTCAACCTTACTGTAGTTTTTAAAATGCTTCTTAAATCTTTTTGGCTTTCAACAAATCTTAGTATGTTTCTAAACTTTAAAAGTCTCAGAGGCAGGTGAAGCAACACATTTATTTGGGACTCTGCTCATGTTGCATTCTGCTTCTTCCTCGACAGTCATTTCTTTTTTCTTCTGTTTGGACTTGAAACATCTTTTGTGCCTCAGACAGCACAAACCCCTTGCGGGTCTTCTCTGCTTTTTGTTTGTGATGCGACACTTTGCATACGTGTTGGGTGTTGTGGTGTCTGGTGTGCTCTTGTTTACAATGCAGACATGGATGAAAGTGAGTAATATTTTTGTTTTAAATGGCTTGAGGTACAAGGTGGTTAGACTTTACCACAATTGAGTATCAATTCAGAAATTTAGAAAAAAGATTTTGCCTCTGGGAACTAATAAAGTATAATCACATTAGCTAATTGTACCATCAGAATCAGAATCAGTCTGGTATATAATGTGGGATCAATGCACAAACACATGAAGTGCACAGCAAGTTACCCTGATGATATTGGCGCAGTGCCATTTATCCTTACCAAGAGTTTTTCACAGAACATATTTCTTTGCACAGCACCAACACTGTGTGAGCGTCTGAGTGTGCAGCTGAAAGCTGTTACAACAAGCTTTGTTGACCCGGCTGGAACCAGAGTGTGTTAACCTGCCGGCACTAATTTGCAAGCTAAATAAGAGGCAAAGAGCTTCCAGGAAGGAAGGAAAGAAGATAGGAAGGATGGGAGGAAACAAGGAAGGAATGGATGGAAAATAGTGAAGACAGAAAGAGGCGGGTAAGGGATTAGAGAGTGAGTCAGATTACGTTGACACTGCAGCTGGAAGCGCTCCGATGAGCTTTTCACCCTGCTATCTGACATAGATTTGATATGTTTTAAACAGTCTGAGGCAGAAAATTTTATTAATAGCATTAACATGGAAGTAAACAGACCTTAAATTAGATCTTAAATCATTTTAGACAAAAACTCAAATCACTCAGCATTTAAAGTTGTGCAGCATCACTGAAATATGTGCAAACGCAGCCTTTAAGAAAGTGACAGCAGGAGATGGAAGGAAAGCAGCTACAAAAAATTATTTGAACTGATTCCAGCCTCTCAAATGTGAGCATTTGCTCTCTTTTTTTGGACCAGTTGTCAGACAGAACAAGGCCACCTTTGACACAACACAATGACAAAATGATTAATTAATGGAAAAAGATCAACAGATTAATCAGTAATGAAAATAATCATTAATGATTACCATGAGATGTTTTGTTTCCATGAATAATAGCTATGTAATTGGTAAAGTTTGTAGATTCATTAGTTTCTGTGTTGTAAATCATGCACAACCCATCACAACCCGTATATTTAAACTTTGTGCACCATGAGGCCAAAACAAAAGAAGCAGAGAAACAGATTTTGGGACAGAAAGAAGCTGGCTCAACAATAGAGATGAAACTCTGAAAAACCTGAGAGTGGATTAGTTTTTGTTGTCTGGAGCTCAAAGGATCACTTCATACTGTGTTGACAGACAGAGAGCCACTTCACTTATCAGCCATAATGGGTTCGCCCAATATTTATCAGCGATTGGCTGGTGCCAGCTTGTTCCTGAGACTCGCAGGCTCTCTCTCTTCCTTCATTCCCTCTCTGTTTGCTTTTTTATTTGTCATCTCTCTTTTCCTGCTGACTGGTTCCCTCTTTATCTGACCCCGCCTTTCATTACCACTGGTCCGAGGTTGTTCTTCCCTCCACTTCCGCTTGTTTTCCTTCACTCCCTCTCTTTCCTTCTGCTCCTCTCAATATTTAATGGCCAATTAGTGTACATAAGCTAGATAATATGAGTAATGGAGTAGATCAGGGTAGGAAAACAGAAGTGAGTGATTAGAGGGAAGGACAGAGTGATGTTTTATTTTGACCTGGCTCTGTCTACAGTGAAAAAATGCACCTGCTAACACCAGGATGTATCTTCAAAAATGCAAAATTGACCGTTTTTAGGAGGAGTTGCACGTTGACACTATTTTTAGCAAACAGCAGTTCATTCATCCGCCCAGTCCCTCTGTGCAGCATCTCTGACTGCAGTGCGAGTTGCCAGATATAACAATGAGAGCAGGTTTTGCTCTCCATGTACCCGGGATGGCAAAAAAAACTTGGCAACCACCTGCTACCCGTCTCTATGCTAAGCTAAGCTAAGCTAACAACATTGTGGTGCCAGCTCTGCTTTTAACACACAAACATGAGATTGAGCTAAGCAAACAGACGTATTGCCCAAAATGTTGCAGCAATCCTTAAAACAGTGGAACAAATGTGTCACACTATGATAAGCTACATCATTTAACTTCCAAAATAGGCCGTCAGTTGCTTAGTTCTTTGCAAATGAAGCATCAAATTTACCAATAAACCAGGGTAAATGTCTTGTGCCTTCAGTTTACTTATTGAAAATGTAAATGATTGTGAATCTAAAGAGAAAAGGGAGGTTTTAAAGATGAGGGAGCAGGGAGGGAAACTAATGAAGGAATGAAGTTTTTTTTTTTTGTCACAGAGGCTTAACTTTACTTTTTTAATGTGTGCATGTTTTGCCAAAATGCAGAGCACTTTTTTACTTTTTTTTTTTTTTTTTGTGTTGATTGTTTGTCTGTCCACTCTGCATGCCCTGTGCCACGATGGTGCCACTGTGTTTTGAATGCTTGTTTTGATACAGGCTTGGGTTTGCCCTGTGGTTGTGGTGGGATCGAACGCCCGTTCCCCTGCCCAAAAAATGAGCGGCGTTGAGGAGCGCCACACTAACTGTTGGTCAGATTGATCAAGGAGTACTGTAACTATTGTTCCAAACTCAATCCATTATTATTTTGTCTCCTCCTCCTCCTTTTTTCTTACTTTACTGTAGACTCCATACTGGGTTACTACTAATGAGATCCACCATTTTCTAACTCTGACAAACTCTGCAGAGGCTAATTGCTAACAATGGTTTCCTCTTGTTTAAAGTCATTGTACAGTGTGTGCAGTCTCTCCAACAGACTTATAATTCTCAGTGTTTGTTGTGATCTGCTTGGAGTGCCACACAGGTGGAGTTTTACACATCGTGAGTGTGTGTGTGTGTGTGTGTGTGTGTGTGTGTCTGTCTGTGTGTGTGTGTGAGTGTGTGTGTGTGTGTCTGTCTGTGTGTGTGTGTGAGTGTGTGTGTGTGTGTCTGTCTGTGTGTGTGTGTGAGTGTGTGTGTGTGTGTCTGTCTGTGTGTGTGTGTGAGTGTGTGTGTGTGTGTCTGTCTGTGTGTGTGTGTGAGAGTAAGCTTAGAAGGTCCATCAAATCTAGCTTTGTGGTCAACCACTTATGTTGATCATGATACAGTTAACTCCACCCATGTGGATGCTCCAAGTGGATTAAAGCAAGTGTGAACACTGATAATGATAATCTGACTATCACTTTAATACTACAAACTACTACAAACACAGAATGAAGTCAGGTCCTTGTTGAAATCACTTCACTGTAGATACTTTTTAAGTCTTTATGACTTCATCTTAGCGTTTTCAGACTTCATAGTGATCCTAAATTTGTAGCTTTGCTTGGATCCAACAGGATGTAAAACAAGAAGTTTTATTTTTATGTATACTCTTAACGTGTCACTTTCAACACACTGTCTTGTTTCGGTCAGAGCAGACTAATAATAAAAAAAGATCAAATCAGTTTTATTTATATAGCGCCAAACTGAAGTTATCTCAATCTTTTCATGTGGAGCAGGTCTACTCTTTCTAATATTATTTACAGAGACCCAACATTACCCCATGAGCAAACACTTGGATACAGTGGTGAGGATGAAACACTCTGTATTCCAGAAATAAATAATATAACAGCGTCAGGGCATTGCAACAAATGTTTTGTCCCAAGCAAGATCAACTAGTGGATTGAAAGTGACACACTATTTCTTAAAGTGGAGAGTCTGCATCATGATTTTATTATGTTTGGGAATGACACACTGTCCCTTTAGACATCTATACATAGTGAATTATAGGCTAATCTTAGCTGAATTGTGTTTGTGCGCTTTTGGCTGTGTGTTTTAATTAATATAATTCCTTGTGTCTTTTCTGACAGACGAGACCATGGTCATCAACGTCTTCTGTGGTGTCGTGTCTGGAGTCCTGTCCTCCTCTCTGGCCAATCCCACTGACGTCCTCAAGGTGATTGATGCTGGGGACAAGGCTTAGACTGAAACATCTGTTTGGAAATATGTTAAAGCTTTTCTTATTGAAGCCTGTATTAGATAGTAGTTAAATAAGTAGCTGTCATGGACTGCTAATATGTTCCCACTTGGTCACACAGTCTTAACTATGTGTCGAAATTTTTGATTCTTTTCAGATTTAGTAACTTTTTTACATTTCCATTGTTTCTAACGTCAGGTTTAATGTACAGAGTTTTCCTTTCACAGAATAACTGGTGTGGGGCAGTGCCCACCAAAACAGCTACAGTTGGACCAAGAAAATAAAACCAGCGACTTTACATTGAAGATGACACCTCACGGAAAAAGTGTTTTTTGTGAACTTTTCTGTTTGTGTCTGTATTTGTCCCAGATCAGGATGCAGGCTCAGGGCAGTCTGCTCCAAGGCAGCATGATGTCCAACTTCATCAACATCTACCAGACAGAGGGCACCAAAGGGCTGTGGAGAGTGAGTGCTGGAGTAATCTGTATGGGGATGTGGATATGTTTATGTTTTAAGAGTGGTGTATTCTGAGTGTGGAAGTGTTTTTCATTCATTTAACAACTGCTTACTGTATCCAGCTTAACAGATCAAGTCAGTTAAAGCAAACCAAGTAAGTCTTTAAAACAATAGTTGGACATTTTGGAAAATCCACTTATTCACTTTATGACGTAATGTTGGATGAGAAGATTGATACTCTCTCCTTTCTGTCTGTTAAATATGAAGCTATATGAAGGTGCAGCCAGCAGCTGGTTAGCTTAGCACAAGTTTCCAGTCTTTGTGCAAAGCTAAACTAACCAGGTGTTGGCTGTAGCTTTATATTTATGCATTAGAGCGGGAGCCATCTTCTCATAAGCGAATAAGTGTCTTATGCAAAATGTCAGACTTTTTATTTAAAGAATACTCGATGGGGGCGTTGAGTGGTGCAGTGGGTTGAGCAGGCGCCCCATATGTAGAGGCTACAGTCCTCGCTGCAGTCGGCCCCGGTTTGAATCCTGCATCGGACGGCCCTTTACTGCATGTCATTCCCCCTCTCTCTGCCTCCCCATTTCCTGTCTCTCTCTCTACTGTGCTGTCCAATACAGGCATAAAAAAGCCTAAAAAAAAATATACTTTAAAGAATACTCGATGCTCAGTTGCTGCCTTTCCAAGAGTTACACAGTATAGAGATAGGGTTTGTTTAACCTATCTTAGCATATAAGTGATCTATATCTAAAGCAATATGTAATATGAGATTGTTGAATGTCGATTCAGCTCTATACAATGAGTTGTACTGTGATATTGCTACAGACTTATTTCCTTCATCCTCCTTTTCCTCAGGGCGTCATTCCCACAGCGCAGCGAGCAGCCATTGTCGTGGGGGTGGAACTTCCTGTCTATGACATAACGAAAAAGCACCTGCTTCGCTCTGGCCTCATGGGAGACACCATTTTGGCACATTTCATGTAAATTTGATTATTCTCAAATGGGTCATGGGTGGGCATGCTGTATGATCATGAAGTATATAGTATTTTAGCAGTGATGAAAACTAAACTGGAAGTTTGTGGCTGTAATATTTTGTTTATCAATTTGGTTTTGTTATTTTTTTTAAAAAGGAGGAGATTTGACCTTTGAACGAAACTCAGCTTTGGCCTTGTCCCTTAACCTTGTTCCATGTCTGTCTGTGTGTAACAGTTCCAGTTTCACGTGTGGCTTGGCGGGGGCACTGGCCTCTAACCCTGTAGATGTGGTCCGGACTCGTATGATGAACCAGCGAGTCCTGTCGGGAAGCCCCATGTACAAAGGAACACTGGATGGAGTGATGCAGACGTGGAAGAACGAAGGCTTCTTCGCTCTCTATAAGGGATTCTGGCCTAACTGGCTGCGACTGGGGCCTTGGAACATCATCGTATCCTTTAAAACCTGCAGAGTTCCTTCAGAGGTGAGAAAAACAAACAGACGTCCAGTTTGTTGCCACTATTTGAATATAGTCTTCTTCTTCTTTTTCTCGAGTAAATTGAAAGTAAAATAAAGGGAATTCTCTGAAATATCCATTTTAATTGTCCATGATATGGTAAAGCTGTGTACACATGACCGTGCAAAGCCCTGTAGGTCAAAGTTGGCTCAGGAAAGGTCTGGCACACTGAGATTGCTCATATTTCAGAGCCCAGCTTGCACTCTGAATCCTGATGTTTTCCTTAACACACGTCTCAGTTCTTCATCACCTTCGAGCAGCTGAAGAAGCTCCCGTTTTAACTGGAGCAGGAAGTGGGACCTCGCTGGTCTGCGAGACTGTGTCAGGGATGAGTGGAGTGTGAGCACGGCAGCACCTGGAGTTTTGACACCAGTATTTTCACACTCCCCTCCAAATCCATTCAAATGATACAACACAGCATCAGTCATCTGCCCATGCTCATCAAAATCTTACACTGATTTCTCCGTTTTGTTTTTTTTTTTTTTAATGTTTTATTTGTTGTCACTGGTTCTTTTTTCATGCAGTTGTAAGGACTGTTGCTTTGATGATTTAATGTCGCCCTCAACCACCTCTAACACTCCCCAGGCAGCTAAATGTCTGCTTGTAGCTGAAGGCTGAATGTTTGGAAGACTAGTTTTATACCCTTGAGCTGATGAGAAAGACAGGGTTTACCACTGTGGATTGGGTGAGTGGAATATCATGAGCTTTGGCTTAAAAAAAAAAAAGACAGGACAGAATTGTTTCATTATTTATACACACATCTGGAAAAACATAAGAGATTAATTTATTAATACATTTAGGCATTGCACGTACGACTGCACAGTTTGTGGAATTTGGTAAAAGAAGAAAAGAAAATGAAATTGAAAAATGAATGATGTGTAGAAACCCTGTGTTTTAAGGGCACGGGCGCAGCATGAAATGTGGTAGGAAAATAACTGTTGAATGTTGAGGAATTTGCATGAAAGAGTTGTACAAATGACAAAGTGACTGTTACAAGTAGTTACTGTACTCACTGAAAGATGCCCAGCAGCACTCCACATGAGTAAGGCTGATACCCGGCGAAATATTAGGATCTTTTTGCTTTAGTAAGGTGTCAGAAAAAGGTGCCACAAAGCCTCTGAAATCTTACAGTGCAGTTTTAATATTTAAGTGGGTCATTTGCCAGAAAATCACTCAACACATGAACTTCTGCATTAATCTAAAAACAACTTATGTTCTATTTATTGTTTATTTTTGGTTGAGACATATTGGAACATAATCATCTGTGATCTTAAACAGAACAATCAGAAACCTGAACCAAAGCCTCTATTGAGAAAAGGGAGACACTTTTGTTGTCTTATTCATTCACAACCAAAACATCTTTTTTTTATTGTGAAGGAAACACTGAATCCAGATGAGTCACTCCTATTGAAGTTTTGTTTGTTTTTTTAAGTTTATTTTTGCTGTAGAGATTTTTGTTTTTTTGTTTCGTTCACCTCCGGTCTGCTGCAGTATTCAGTATTAGGAGGTAAGGAGTTGTGGTTTGCTGCCATATGTCATTATTGTCCCACAAGATAACAATCCATTACACAATGTAAATGGCTGTACAGACTCATTCACACATAGAGGTGGATGCATTTTATCTTTGGCATGTCCACTTGTACATACGATGCCTTGTTGCGCTATTTTTACTGTCGTGTGTGTCGTCGGAGGTAAAGTCAGGATATGAATGAAAAAGAGGCAGCTGCTGTGGATCGAAAGCAGAGAAGGAGGGGCCTTTGTGCCAAATGTGTTTCCACCAAACTGGGTTCAATTTATTTGCAGATGATTCTTTTTGTTTGCAACTACTCCGAGGCCTTGCAAAATGTGGTTTGCAGGAGAAACTCTGTGCTGGAAGTAATTGAAAGTCAGTGTAGTTAGAATAGACTGCTTGTTTGAAATTTGAATTTTTGTGAAACAAATTATCTGAACTCAGCCCATGTAAAACAGACAAAATGTTTTTCAGTTATGGGAGTCCATAAACAATATCTGAACAGTAATCATAACAAGTGCTATGAATCAGTCGCAAATATTAATTTGCGACTGTTGGACTTGCTCAGTACAGGAGTTTAGCCTCCACCACAGGTGACCTCGCCCTTTCATCCACATATTTTGTGTGTTTTTAGTACTGTTGAGTTATTTTAGAAACCAGTTAGGTGTCTCAAAATTATCTTGAGATTGAGACAAGTCCTCTTTCTTCTGTTGTAAAGGCACAAAACCTGTTGAATTCTATACTGTAACTGACACATTGAAAATACGCTATAATTTTGATCTTCATAGCACTTTTTTCTGGTAAACTGCTGTAGGCAATGATGCTGGTTGATTGTATTCCCTTGTCTGTTAGGTGAACCAGCTTGGATTTATCTTATATTTCATCCATTCTTCTGTTCTATCTTGCCTTCATATACGTAATTGGATTTTGTGAGTTATGCGTCGCCAATAGAGAGTAAAATTTCCCAGGAGTTGTTATTTGGACCAACATCTGCCAGTGTATTATTTTTAGCTGTTACTACAATCCAGTCAAGACAGCCTAAGTCTTGTCAACAGATCACAGCAGTTTTAGTTTGCAATTTGCCATTTTTAAGTGTACTTCATTTTGTCATGTGTCCAGTGTGAATCCGCAACTTACACAAAACATTGTTACAGCACATTGAGCTGCTTGGACACAACTCAAAACGTTTGCTTGTGCTGTTTTGAGAGGCCAGTTAAGGTTTTGAGTGTGTGTTGGACTCCAGAGCAGTATGTTGGAAAATGTGTATGTCCAGTGTGTTTTTGCCTTTCTGATGAGCCCGGAGTCTTGGTAGACCTGCACTGTTACAGCCTTACACTTTGCATTGACCGCCTGATGATGATGTTACTCTATGACAATGTTGCTCCTGTGCCGATTCTGATGCCTCATTACCACATTGACTGAGTGGATTTTTCAGTTTTCTTTGACTGTCCACACATTGTGCTTGCAGCTCTCAGTACTGAAGTTAATATTTTAAAAGCCAGTTTTAATACATGTCGTGATGTGTTCTGTTACCTCAGCAGTCGTGCTTTCCTGAGCCATTTTAACTGTTTGCGAACAGTGTCTCATTTCACTCAAGTATCACAGTTTGAACCGCTGCTACCCCCCAGTTCATCCGTTAAACATTTCCCTTCCTGTAAACTGTGTGCAGAGGGATTCTGACAGGGTTTATGGGACGTTTAATCAGCTTTGTCGAGTAACCATAAATTGTCAGCTGGGTTTCAGGTGAGTAAAACATCTGCTCACACTGTACGGGACACAGGCTGAGGTCAGAGGTGGAGGTGCAGATAATATTTGTGTAAGGCTGTCACAGATAATACAGGTACATGTGAAAACATAGTTTGGCCTTTGTTTTTGGGTTCCATCCACACTGAAGCAACTGAAGATGCTTTCAAATGCTGAGATTAATCAGCCAATTTTTGATTTTACCACTTACTTAACAACCAAAGCAGATGGACGAGAAAGAGACTTTACTGTTTTATATTGTTTAATTCCAAAAAAAATTGTTGATTTATCGGTCAACATGGTCAAAATATTATTATATTGCAAACAGTTTCATTTATCAAAGCAGAAATTTCAAACATTTACTGGTTTCTGCTTCTCGTGAAAATTTGCTGCTTTTATTTGATTTGTATCACAGTAAATTTAATGTCTTTCAGACAAAACAAGCAACATGAAGATTTCATCTTTTGGTTGTGTGAAATTCTGATTGGCATTTGTCACAAATTTCTTACATTCTATAGATTGAACAATTGAAAAATAAAAAAAGATCAGCAGATACATCAATAATGAAAATGATTAGTTGCAGCTCTAATTGATTTGGCTTGGCAGCATGAATGACAAACCATGAGAAACGTATCTGAAGATGTCAGTGTGAATAGGAACCCTTCAGGAAATAGCGCTTTCAGATTTATACATATTAGTGTGGACATAAGTTACAATAATATAGAAACATAAATGTACATTGGAAGTTTAGTTTCCGATTTTGAATACTGGTGAAATGCAGTGGAGGTGATGCAGCAAAGTGAGATACAAGAACATACACACATCTCAAAATTGTTAATCAAGCTGTAATTTAACCAACAACTTGCTTTGTGCGCCCGTTCACACATTGTTGTGAATGTCGATGTTACTGTGATATTTTTACAACTTCTGTGTGTGTCATGTACCTATTTATGGAAACCGTCAAACTGAAGTAGAGAAGGCCAGCACAGCAAGGGATCCAAATAAAAGTCCTGTAGTTTAACTCTGATTGTTTTTTGTGAAAGTTGTCAACTTGATTTTAGCACCGTTTTTGGGAATCGTTAATGTTTTAAGCTCATGCAGAGTTTTATCTATTTTCTAATTATTTGAAAAACATCTGCTTCTGACTGTGTTCAGCGAACGTGAATACAGTTCAGCTGATGCTGCTTTCCATTCCTGCTTTTATTCCTTTCAAAACTATTTAATGCTCATGCTATTTTTTAGTTTTTCTGGGGTTTTTTTGTTGTTTGTTTTGTTTTTTTGGAAACATTTTTGTGTTTTAATTTCAATTTTTTGTTACCAAGTGCTCTGAGTCGACCACAATAACAGCTCTTCACTTATTTGCCTAATAATTCATTCCCTTCACCACCATTTTATGTTCATGGCGAACAAATCGAGCTTCTTTGATGTGTACAGCGCTTAGGAGAAAATGAAAACCAAAAGAAAAGAAGAGAATATTTTAAGTTATTTACTTGTCTGTAAATGCAGAGTGACTACAGTCTTTTTGACAGAGCAGTGTCCTGAATTATCCTGAAAGGAATAGCATGGCATTTTGGGAAATGTGGTTTTAAACAGCAGTCATGGTTTTACGCGCCAAGAATGCAAATAAGAATATTTGTCAAATTGTCGATCAGTTCCTTTTCTGAGTTTTTAGGCCCGGTCACATCAGAAAGTGGTGCAGTGAAACCCCCCCCCCCCCTTGTGTGGCCTTACTTTGAACACGTCCATTTCCTTAGTCTCACACCGGTTCTGTGTGAAATGTGTTGGTGGCTAATAAACGACATTGAGCATGAAAGTTCACTCTTGACGTTGGGATTTGTAGCGCTGTGATGTAGTGTTGTGGTCTCCTTCTCAGCGGGGGCCCTGTCTTTGGTTTGTGGTAAGTGGCGACTCACTGTCACTTCATGACTCTGTTGTGAGGGAGTCCCACTGTCCTCTCTGTCCTGCCCTGGTCCATTCGTTGTATTGTGCTCTGCATTTCACAGTCTTCATCAGCAGATGGGGGTTTTCTCAGTGGAAGCAGATGTTGAGTCAGGAATATTTGGGCAAAGTAGTGGCTTTGCTTTAGTTTTGACACCAGTGTGAAATAGAGAGTCTCAGTGTTTCGATCCACAAAACTGCTCTGTGGCCCTAGTCATAACACTTTTCAAATGAAATCTTTTTTTAATAAAACATTCATGTTTTTTTGCAGAGAGAGGAGCATGTGGAAATTAGGGCTGCACGATATGCAAAAAAATCTAAAAATCATTGCAATATTTTGGCAGTTATTGCGATATGAGTCACAATTTCAGTTGGCGTGATCGTTTTTGCATTTCATTTTCACTGAAATGTTTTAAAAATTATGATGTGATTTTTGCTGGAGCTTGTACCAAACAAACATGTTCCCTTACATCTCGAGAATATGCCATCTCTGTAACACCACAATGCTTATGGTGCTAACGATGCACAACAATGTTCTGACCCGTTTTACCTTTATCAAAAAAATTGGAGCTCTTGGAATGTGGATACTGCACTTGGCCAAATTGCGTTTGTGATTAATTGTGCATCCCCAGTGGAAATGTTTTGCTTTTTTTTCGCCTTCATATATAAGCTGATTGTGATTGTGCAGCGCTTTGTGTTTATGAGAGAGAGCGTGTGATGGATAGAAACAGTCAGAAAAGAATCTGAGAACTTCTGCAAAATGTTTTTTCCACAACAGTGTGTGCCATGTGGATGTTTTTTAAGGTTCCATCTTTAAACACTTCACATATTCTCAGCAAATGGGAGTTTCTATTGATTATTTGATGCTTTTCTATTGGTTTCCCTTTCCCTTTCCCTTGCAGTCTGTTTCTCTGCCTATGACTGACGTAAGTCTGCTTGTTTTTACATTTTGTTTTGCTGGCTAGAGCACTGTTTCCCTGTCTAACATTGAACAAAACTAACACACTGTTACACTGATCAAATGATGAAGATATTCGCCATTAATTTAGTATTGGATTCCGGCCAGTCAGCATCATTCCTCCTGATCAGAGCAGAAAAACAGCCTGAGAACCTGTAGATTGACTTCAGTTATTGTCTCTGGACATGTAGCTGATACTTCATAAATGAATTCCTCCTGTAAAGGCCAAAGTAGTGCACCCTTTATTACAACCTTCATGTAGGTTTGTTTTTGGTGTCCCACTTCCATTAAAATGCTGTTTCAGAGGCTTCAGCTCAGGCAAAGAGTTTCATCTTTCTGATTTTAAAATACTTTGAGTGTGGACATTGTTGACTGACAGATCTGCATCTGTGTGGCAGTCTGACAGGATAAGAAAATCTATAAATATTTTTGTAAATTTTCTCATCACTTCCACTGATCATTTGCACTTTGGTGTCAGCTTGTACCATTACTGTCTATAACCCTTTCGCTTGTTTACCCGATGAATTTCTATGGTGGAGAGTACTTTTTTTTTTCTTTGACAGAATGGGTTTGGCTTTATATAAATTCAATGTTCACTCAAATAAAAATATATGCTGTGATTGTTTCTGTATCAGTTTATTTCTTCTTGCTCATACGGTTGGGCAGGTAAAATTCAATTTTAATATTTATTGTGCATAAAGAATATGAAAGTTGGAAAATCGGAGTATAATTTTTAAAATGTTTGTTGAGTCAGTGGGCTCATGGTCATGGTCTAAAGCCCATGGAGTAATGGCAGAAAAAATGGCCGCTGCGCCAGGCCCATGGTTACAAAGGTTTGTACTTATTGTCTCTTAATTAATCGTGGGAGTGTTTTGGGTCTAACATGCAATAAACCAATCAGTGCCATCTCCCATTCCTTTTAAAAGCAAGGCACGCTTGCACCTTGGCAGACTGCGATTGTAATGGCGCAATGTTTTACACAGAAATATATTCTATTTGTGTTGGCTCTACTTAATTTTGAGTTTTACAGTTAGTTTTCCCAATTCAAAATACCAAGAAGTTCACCAAACTTATAAAGATTACTGCCACATTTTTAGGGGGGTTTATCTAGTAACTTGATTTTGGTCAAATGAGCTTTAATAATTAAAAATAAAGAATTGAAAAACATCAAATGTGCTTCACAGTGTCTTTCAGAAGAGTGGCTCTTTTTTCATGCTTTCATGCTTTTCATGCTCATGTTACACTAACTGTTTGCAGATGCATAAAACATTTCCACAGCAACTTCAGACCACAGAAAAGTCTGAAGTCAGGATCATTGTTGATCTTGAGTCATGAATGCCACACTTCCAAGAAACTTTTCTTCAGTGTAAGACAAGTCACCAAGGACTGGACGATATTGTGGATTACTTTGCAAGGGCCAGGAAAAGACCCGTGCAAATGATAAGTACAAATCTCTCCGGCTGATCCAGAGATGTACTGAGTTAGTCCTCGTGTTAAAAGTCAACGTTTGTGTCGCAAAATCTTTTGAGAACCACAACAGTGTGTCTGAAGCAGTTTAGAAAAAGTGAAAATGCTTGGACAGATTTTAATAGTACACTTAGTAGTAGAGCTGGAACTATTAGCTATTGATAATTGACAGAAGTATTTCAATAATTGTTTTAATTGTATTGATTAATTCAACCAGGAGACCAGGAACAGCTTGTTCCCCCGGGGGGGGGGGGGGGGGGGGGGGGGCAGAGAGAGAGAGAGAGAGGGAGACGGAGAGAGAGAGAGAAAGGGAGAAAGTGCTCAATGCATCATGGGAGTCCACCCAGCAGGGTGGAGGGGTCTGAGAGGGGTTATCAGTCATAGGAGTGGGAGCTCCCTCCGCAGCATGCCTTGAATGGCCTCATAATAGCTTTGCCCACAGATGAGAAGAACCTGGCAACAGCGTTCTTCTTCGGAGGCGGAGGGGGCTCCATCAGATGAGACTTCAAGGCCTCGACAACAGTATTGTCAGCAGCCTCGTGCTGTGACGTTATGGCTTTCAGGAGCTCCTGTGCAGAGCCGAGCTGCTGACACAGGTCTGTGAACAGAGCTTTGTAGATCTTCTCAACAGTTTTTTGGTCTGAGCGCGAAGGGATGTCAGCGATCTTGATCTTGTCCATTGCCTTATCTCTCAGATTCTTGATGGCCGTGTTGAAAGCGCCCTTGTGCAGTGATGTGTGGGCCTTCTTTAAGGAACGCAGTAGCAACCCTGTAAGCACCAGGATAATCAGTGCCTGCTTTTGGGCATCATCTGACATCGTTGCATCACGAGTGTCAGACGAGTCATTGGGCTGATCTTCACATGGTGAGGCTGGACTGACTGACTGAGAATCTACCATGTCTGAAACATAACTCTGCAGCATGTCAACATTGGCTAGTACACTGGCATCGTCGGGTACTTCAAAATCAGAATATTCATTGTCTGTGGTCCAGCCTGAGTCCATAGAATCAAAGCTGTCTTCGAACAGCCAGCCATCGCAGTCCTCAAACCAGTACCCTTCAGTCTTTTCCTGAATATTTTTGCGGCTAAAGTCAGTGATCTCTGTTAGTATATCCATCACTGCTTTGTTTGTAGTGGAATAGTTAACGTCACAGAGAACCTCCTCTATGACCAGATGTAGTCTTTGGCTTTGTTTGTCATGCAACAGTGAAGTGCTACTGACCTCTACATTTCTGATCACCGGTCTGCACTGGCAGCTGCCTTGGATCAGGCATGTTAGTGTTTTAGTAACTAGAACAATCATGGAATGAAGAGTTTCATAATAGATGCAGTTACAGTCATAAGTCTTGGATCTCAAATGTGAAGTGCACGAGCCGATTCTCACAGCTATGCGGTAGTTAATTCTCGCCGTCACCTCTCTTGCAACTAACCGGATGAAATCGGTTAAGCTCTCACAATTGAATTTTTTCATGTTGATGCTCTCGGCAAAACACTGCGGAAGGGTGTTTTTCATGTTAGTCAGGACATCAGTCTCATCTATTCCGAAGAAACACCGGGCTGAGTGTACGAGTGTAAATATCCGTGGGGCTTTCCTGTGCCAGTCTGAAACGGTTAACGTAATAGCTTCCTGGATAATCGTGGAAGTCAAATTAACAATGCGCTGACATAACTCAATCAGCAAAGGTGTGGACACATTTCGCCCGCCAAATTTGATCTCATTCTGGAAAATTTTCATCAAATACTTGATATCTGGGGCGATGTAGAGATCACATGCTCTGATTTCAGGGAATTTCGCATAAGCAGTCACTGCGAGTGCAAACGTATCCATGGTAACTGTCTCTAATTTTCTTCTGAACTTCGTCAATAAGTTTCTCGTTTGTTTGCTGTGACTCCGTCTTTGCTATTTTCTACTTATATAAGTTAACTGCTCCTTTTTAAGTACTTCTGTTATGACGTCATTAAGACATCACCCAACATCTAAGCGTTAGATCAAAGACAGATGACGTCATAAGCAGATGAAGTAATTCGAATTTTTTTCTTTTCTCTTCTTACTTTGAGGTTTCTGTGTAGATCTGTCTGCATTCACTTTCTTTGTTGTTGGTGAATTTAAATAAATTGTCTGTTTTTCTTTTAGAAAAAAATAATTGAATTGTCGAGAGAAAGCAGCACGGTGTCACCACACGAGGAGCAGAATTAAAGACCTACGTCCAAATTAAAGATATTAATCAACACACAGCACCACAAATACACTTTCAATGGTACATAGTGTTGAATTTACAATTAAGAAGAGACTGAGTCCCGTCACTGTGTAGCTATACGATGTGTGCAAAGTTATTATGGAGAGCAATAATGAAATGAGAAAAGCAGTTAGTCACTATATGATGTGAGAGATCTGCTAAACATAGGCTAGGTCTTTATTTACATGATCTTCTTATATAAAGAGTCTGGACTCACTCAGGACTGTTGTGGAGAGACGCATGCAATGTAAGATGGATGCCATCTTAGTCAATACCAACCATCCTCTCCACAACATTCTGGCAGCACAGACAAGCAGCCACAGCTGCAGCAAACGTCTCATCTCACTGCGCTGCAGAACAGAGAGGTTCAGGAGATCCTTTGTTCCCACTGCCATCAGGCTGTACAACACCTCAGCCAAAGGATGTGGACTAATCTAATTATTATTGTTTATTAATTATCAACTGTTTTTATTATTATTATTATTATTATTATGATCAACAATGAGCTAATGGACACATGAATTTCTCCTAGGGGATAAATAAAGTATCTGTCTATCTATCTGTCTATCTAATCTTGCAATCTGAGTGGGACAGCTCACAAGTAGCGTATTAATAATAATAATAATAACAACAACAATGATAGTCCAATAACTATTTATAGAAGACTTTTCATACAAGATATATAACTCAATGTGCTTTACAATAAAAATGAAAGGACAGTAAACAAGGGCGAATAGAAGGACAGTAGATGATAAAGTAAAAATGAAAATAAAAAAGCAGAAACCAGTAGGAATAATAAAATATTACATATGAGAGAATTAATTAAAAGCCAAATTAAATCAACATCTATTATAGGCTACAAGTCTTTCAATTGACTGCTTCATAAGACCAGTGGCCTAAGAGCAGTGCAATAATCTAATCTCTCTGAAATAAAAGCATCAATAAGTTTTCATTTTCAATTAATTATTATAAGTGACAGAAAGCTGTTTTGGTCACCTTCCTTATGTGTAAAGTAAAATTTAACTCCATCTTTAAAATAACACCCAGGCATGGTACTTCTGGTTATTTGTTGACAGCATTAAATCAAACTGATTTGAGTCAAACCAGAGTTAAATTGCCTTTATGTGGAGAGATAATTGTGAAACTTGCATCAAAATCATGCAGAAATTTAGTGTTTTTTCACTGACATTTGGGAAATTGGAAAGTTCTGCAGAGAGGCTCAGTTATATGATTTTCTAAGCAAACACTCACATACACACAGAGAGAGAGAGAGGGAGAGAGAGAGAGAGAGAGAGACAGAGAGAGAGAGAGAGGGGTAATTAAGTCAACCAGCTTCAGGTGTGCCAGCTTATCACACAGCTGAACTGTGGTTTCATTAAACCACATGAGAATCTAAGGAGGGAGTGAACTTTTAGTGTCTGATGTATGTGAGTTGCTGGACTCATGCTGCTTCCAGTTTGTCCTGTTAGTTTTATATGTTATCTTTATTTTGCTTTTCTGTAGCAGTAGGATCATCCTACACATGTTTTATCAACTGAAGAAGTTTTTAACAGTAATAGTTTGAGTTTGCTGAGTCTGGTTGGGTTTGAGTGAGTGTGTGTGTGTAGCCATGAAGGAGGAGATTGCTGCTGCTGTCTTTTTTGTGGCTCGGCTGGTGAAGAGATATGGCTGTCTGGATAATGACAGCAGGGAGCGATTTGCTGCCGCCCTCACCTCTGTTCTGTTTGAGAGCTACAAGAACCACTGGTACCCAAACGTACCCACCAAGGGACAGGCCTACAGGTCAGTAAGTGTTTCAGAAAAACGGGAAGTGTCAAGTTTTTGTTCCCGTTTGTCACTGATCTAAACTGCAAATCCTTTCCAGCTTAAAAATATAAGTTCACCTAGTAGTAGTAGTAGTTCAGTTGTTATTTTTATGAGTTTTGAAAATGTAAAATCAGCTGAGTTGCTTTCAACTGAGAGTGGATTAAACTTAAGATATCAAACCACTACATTGAACTGTTTTGACCAGTGGTTTTGTTCAGCAAACTTTGAGCCAGTTCTGAGACTCTCTTTTTCCCACTTGGGTCTTAGCATGCAGCATCATCCCATAATTATAACTTTTACCATTCAGCAGAAGTTACATACTTGTGTGTCCAGTCACAAAACCCTTAAAATCCACCGGTTACTGAAGAAACAGTTGCTATGAAACCTCTAGATGCATTTTCTATATGATCCAGAGTAAAGGAGCAGATATTGCTTCAGATTTTTAAAATGTTTTTAAACTGTAAACTATTGTAATCTACTTTCAACAGTTTGCAAGGGAGTATTTCTTCAGCATGAAGTCAAAACTGTTCAGTGAGTAACAGGGGGTTGGAGGTGTTTCTGAAAATACTGATGCTTTTTTTTTTTTTTTTCATTGCTGTGAGCACTAAAAATAAAATTTCATTTACCTCTTTATTCTGGGGTTGAGGCAGGAATCTCTCACTGATCTAAAAATCTCTACAAATAAAAAATTAAATTGAAATGAAATGAAACGCTGCATATTTTTAACAAGACTTGTGAAGCTGACATTGCTGAGGCAGAGTTGTGTTTTGTGCTGACTGCCGCTCTGTGTGTTTCAGGTGTCTGCGTATGAACCGAGTCCAGCTGCAGGACCCGGTGCTGCAGCAGGCCTGCGAGCGCAGTGAAGTGTCATACGAAGATCTGGGCCTTCCCCGGGAGGTGACGGTGTGGGTCGACCCTGGAGAGGTGTCCTGCAGGTCAGGCCACTTCACTCTGTAGCGCCAGGACCTCACATGATAACAAACTCAGAGAGGAGGCTCATTGTGCAGCTCTTCAGTGGGTCTTTGTGCAAAGATTGCATTTAAACTTTGTCCTTGACAGACCTGCTGCTTTGTTTCAGGTTGTGCACAACTTCAAAAGTCAAAATGAGCCTCATGTTTCTGCCCTTACATGAACACTGCACTCTGTTACCTTACTGTTGAATTACTTATATCTCAGTAATGCCTTGACGGAACTTCTTCAAATTTGGCACAAACATTCATTAGGACTCAAGGATGAACTGATTTGGTGGTAATAGGTCAAAGGTCATGGTTACCTCACAAAGCACTCTTGAATGTGATATCTGAAGACCACCTTGAGGAAATTTGTTTAGATTTGACACAAACATTAACTTGGACTCTAAGAGGACCTGATTAGATTTGGGTGGTCAAAGGTCACGGTTATCTCGCATTCTTCTGGCACACTAACCTCGCAAAACACGTTTTTGGCCATAACTGACAAATTCATATGCTAATTACAAAATTTAACTCGTATCTACAAGGATAAAACATTTTATATCCAAATGCTCGAATTCACTATGACATCATAATGTTTTGTGGCCATTATTCAATGCTGTAACTCAGGAAGGGGAGATTGTGATCATACTTCCTGCAACTTGGCTGATTGGTGGAGAAACACAACCCTGGGGCAGTAATTCTAGTTCAGATATGAAAAGCATAAAATTGCTGGATTCATAATGGTAATAGTTTTTGGGTGACATACATGACGCCATGTTGGAGGCCACAGTGCTCATGAGGTGATATGATGCAGCTTTTATTTATTTATTTATTTGTCCATTCCTGCAGGTACGGTGAACACAGCACTCCGTTCTGTGTCTCCGTGGTGGACAGTTGTCGGCGTGGTGATGGGGAATTTTCCCGCCGCATCCATGATGCCGTGGAGCGGGCGAGCCTTGACATCCAATCAGGAAGCTCTTCAGATGAGGAGGATGGGGGTGGAGACAACAGCATGAGCAGTGGCAACGTTGGCCCATCAGCTGTCTGCCCTGCTCCGGTCCTACCCACCAACCCTGAACCCAAAACCATCCCAACTGTCAGCAACCCCAACAGCGTATACCGGGTAGGTTAGATATGTGTGTTAATAATGCCATGCACTTTTTAAGTATACCATAGTTACAACACACAGAAATTGTAGAAAGCAAGAATTTGTCACAGCACAAATAGAAACAGATCACACTAGAAACAGAAAATATGATTAAGATTGAAATGACAGTCCCTGAGATCATTTATAAATATTAAAGACCCTAATTGAACAAAGCAGAAACAGAGACATATAAAGCATCTTCAATATTTTTAATTCAAAGCATTTTCAATTTTGGAGGTTGAACTTTTTAAGAGCATTTTCTGCTTTTTCCTTGGAGCAGTCAAAAGAGCAGCAACTATTAACCTGCTGTATTTTACAGCTGGAAAGAAGAAGAAAAAAAAAAAAAAACTCAAATGTAAAGTGGAAGTATAGAGTACGTGTGACTGTGCTTAGTTCCTAGTTCCACCACTGGTCTCTTGCTTCACCGGCCTCTCACCCTCTGCTCCTCTCCTCCTCAGTTTGTTGAGTTTTCTTCCGGGGCCCCTCAGACCTGGCTGTGGGAGAAGCGGAAGGCCTTTGCTGGGGACACATTCCCACCACACGCTCCTCCAGCTGGAGGTCCGACCTCCCAGTTCTCCGGCCAAAAAGGCTTCAAGTCCCACAGAGCAACATTTACCTTCAGTGGGCCTCGTGTTGACAAGTACCACTGGATCAGCAAATCCCGATCCTAGAGCGAGCCGTGCCTTCAACCTAGAACCAGAATCGGGTTGCTGCTCAGGACTGGAGCCGTGATGCTGGATCAAAGCACCATGTGAAGAGAAAAGTGTCAGGATAGTTGATGTATCTTTAAAGTATAAGAGTTTATTATTCATACATGTTTAAAGTAATAATGATTTAAAGTACTGCTATTTAAGTATGTTTTTAAACTTTGAAATATTCAAGTATTTTAATTAAACCCTCCTTTCTGAATGTGTTTTTTAAACTAAAACTAAAGTAAATGTGAATAAAGTAACATTGGCCTGTCATTGAAAAGAAATAAATGCGTCAGCTCTGCTTGTTGTTCTAAAGTATTTCCTCTATTTCATGTTTTGGTCCATCTTTCTAAATCAGGATACTCTTTGATAAATTAGCATTTTGGCTAAAAAACAAAACAACATTAATGTAAGATGATTATAGAGAGACCAATGAGACTGTTGACAGGACAGCTAATACAGGTATGTGTTTTGTAGCCTCTTATCTAAATACTGCTGCCAGGACACTTGTGTAGAAGACATTTTTCAATCCGGTAACTGAGGTTCTTTATTGGTTAAATTAAGATTAATGAGGATTTCCTTCTTTTCCCCTAAGTGGCTGTGTATGGTGGTGGTTGTACTGGTAGTGTAGTTAGTGATTGGTGTGTAAGAACAATCAGCTAACAACACTGCCTGCACAGCAACCCCAATCACAATCATCCCCATCAGGAAACACTTTTACAGGAAAGAAAAAACAGATTTAACATGACTTGTTTTTGTGTGAAGGATTTAACTTTAAATGACAGAGCGTCCAGTCAGGAGAGTGACGGTTGCAAAATCCATCTTCTAAGCTCACTAATTAGCATGTTATTCCTTGTTAAACTGACAGTAAACCAAATTTCATGAATCCACCATTTTACAGTTGTTTCTGTACCAGACTACTGCCAGTGGAGACTCCCAGGAGTTACTGATCCCAGCCAAGAAATAGACTTGTCACAATTCTGATAAAGTATCCAGTCACCAAAGTGTAATACCATTTCTCTATTCACATTTTTTTTTCATGTGTTCATTTTTGCTGTCAAGAAAAACATGGAAAGTTCAATAGAATACCATTTACAAAAGAGATGATTTTAAAGGACAACAAAAAAATCGGTTTTAAGTAACTTACCAACCCCTGAGCTCTGCCATCAGTTTCATGCTCTTTCACACTTGGAATAGTTTCTTTTTTTCCTCTGACACTGGCATTTAAACAGGTTAATATAAGCAAATATTAATTAGGTCATGGTAATCAAAATTCTTTTGTATATTCAATTGTTTTGAACTTCATTTCAGTTGGATCTTCATAAAGCTCAGTCACAATGGAAGGAAGGTGAAACAGGAATCTGACTGGTCATTAATGACTGATGACAGTGAGATGAAAGGCCGCTGGTCTCTGCTGACTGCAACATCACGTTGCACACATTGCAATCACATACTGAAAGCTCTGTCCATGGTTCTATGATTGGATAAGCAACACTTCAAAAATGTTTGCAGACATGTAAACAACTGCATTGTCTGGAGTGAATCATTGCTGTGCTGTATAAAATGTGTATATATGTGAACGGGTGGGAGCTGTGTTCTTACCTGTGGTCGCTGCAGTTCTCACAGCTCCATCCACAAGTGACCACAAATGGAGAAACACAACCGTCTCCACAGCCACACTTTACTTTATTGTGTGTATGTGTGTATGTGTGTATGTGCGTGCGTGTGTGTGTGTGTGTGAGCCCATATCTCAGGTCATGCCTCAACTTGCCCCTGGTTGGCAGATATAGTCGATGTTACCAGGGTGAAGCAGTCAGTGGCAGCAAAACACTCACCCTGAGTCCCAGGATTTGCCAATTTTGATGCGTTTCTCACACATGTATCTATTAATTTTGGCCTCACATTATTTGGTGCAGACTGAAAATAAAATTATTTTATTTTTGCTACTGTCATACAAGAGATGTGCCATTTGCTATCTACATGAGAGAATTTAAACTCAGCATCAGAGAAATCTTTTTTTTCCTCCTGTGAAAAATTAACACTGACTTCAACAGTTAAACAAGAAGGAAAATACATCATATAACCTGGTCTGGGACCTTTTCAGGGGTTGTTAAGTTACTTAAAATGGATAAATAGAGAAATTACACTGTGGTGACTGTATACTTTAAAGAAGAGAGGAGAAGAATTGAGAAATATGGCAATGTACACTAGAAAGACATAAGTATGATCACATCACATTGTAATTCGTATTGACCGTGAAGTTAAAACATGAACCCACAGTGATACTGCGCCTAAACCACAACAGTAAAGCACATAAATATTTCAAATCAACAAAACATTTTATATATAGGCTTTTTGGACAATACACATATTCATTATTTTTAATGCAACACTTTTTAACAAAAGTATTTCAGTTTTAATAATAACACACAGGCTTTTTAATTTTTTATTGCACACACAGAGTAAAACAATTAAAGTCAGTGAGGTGTCAGTCGGTCCTAGTTTTGAAGGGCTGTTATGAATTTTTCAAACCGCCCCACAGTGCTACTTGATGGTTTGAGATTTGGTTCTGCGCATTGTGTTGCCATGAAATGCCCCGCTACTGCTACCATCTGTTTGGTCACAGATATTGTGTTTCAACAAAGCTCTGTTTTCCGTGCACACACTACAACACCAAGCCGGGTTTTTTTGTTTTCAGTTACACACGCCGGAAGCCATTTTGGAAAAAAAAAGTTTCGTCGAGCAAGCATAAAAATAAAGGTTATCCGTTGTCATGACATTAAAAATGTCGCTTTGCTCCTGTAACAACTGAGAGAGAGTACCGGAAGCTGCAAAGGAGTTTGGCTGTTTATTTGCTGTTTTGTCATCAAAGTGCGGGCAATCAGCCAATCATGTGTCGCCTTTATTCGCATAGGGGTGCCTCATGTCCAATCACAGACTCCCTCATTACGACGTGCCCTAGCGCTTGGTCACATCCGGTCGTATATATGATGCCACGAGTTAGCGGCGAATTTGGAGAGTGTCCATTTTGAACAGCAAGTCGGCGTATCTGGTATTTTCACTTAAAGTAAGCACGTTCTCTTATTTTTGTTTGCGAATTGAAATACAGGCGGGGACGTTCAGCTCAGTCTAGCGACTAATTTCACTGTGATATTTCCCTTTTAGCCCAGTTTTATCTTTGCGGTGTCCACTTGATAGCAGCAAATCAAGCTAGCCGTCTGTTAGCCGCAGTGGTGCTAATGTGTTTTAACGCGGTTATTACATTGAATGAGACGCTTGCCTAACGGCTGTTGTAGAAATGAAGCACTTGTGCTTTTTGAGCTGCAGTTGAGATTTAACTTTAACCAATTACTCTAATTTTACTGGTAGTGGTTATTTTATTGAGGTCCAGCTATCTAGCTTCTAGCTGGGCCTGCACTCGGTCCCAAGCGGTAACGAAACGAAGCAAAGCGCGGTCCGCTTAAACCCCCAACATGGAGATTCACGCCAGTTTATTGTTGGATTTTGCCTTTATGAACAAATAAACATTCAACAGTGTTAAATGTTACGAACTGCTGTCACTATATTGACTTTAAGCTAGGTGTACGGTTTCAAACATGGATATATTTTATAAAGAATTACATTAAGTAACGTAAGCAACTATAAGTTAGTTAGAAACTGACACACCCCCCCACCCCCCACCTCACCCCCCCCCCCACCCCTGAAACTAGCTTTCTATAAACTTTCACGGTGTTATATGCACTGCTGTGATTTAAAATTATGAAATAATCATAGATGAATGGTTAAACAATGCGACCCGAATTTCTCAGCACCGTATGCATTAAAAACGTTATCTGTAGATTAATTGATATTGTAAATAATTGTTACTTGTAGCCCCTCAAGGCTTGGTCATACTTTAAGAACCTCAAACAGGTTAAGAAATGTAATGAAAAATTATGCATCTTATATCCTAAAAGAAAGTGGATTTATATTTAAACTATTAATTCTTTTGGATGAACAAATATCAAAAGTCTAGTGATTAAAAATACAGTCTGTTATTCGTTGCGAGCTGTTTTCCCACAGGGCAGTTGTACACTAAATCTTCTTTCTTTTCTTTTTATGTTTATGCTGTTTGTACTTGTTATATTTTAGGATGTGGCATTTCAATTCTGTGCTGCTGCATTGCCTACTAACTGTTCATTCAAATAAAGGATTACTCAGATCATCTCATCCTGTTGCAGTCTCTTGAAGATCCCACCATCACAATGTCAGACACTGAGAATCTGCTCATGGAGACATCGGAGCAGAACGGCAATGAGGGAGAGGAGGACCAGAACGGAGCTGAGCAGGAGCTGATGGGTGGAGAAGATGGTCAGGACAATGGCACAGATGGAGGCAAGATTGATGCCAGCAAAGGAGAGGAGGACGCTGGGTGAGTGGTTTCAGTTTACCTTGGACTGGTCACATTCAACTTGTATGAGTACCCTTTTGTGTTCAGTGAAATTATGTCATGAAACATAAAATAAACAACTGAAAACTGAACTGCAACCTTGTTAGGACCTTGTCGACAACAGGATAATAAGAAAGCAAAGTAAAGTAAAACTAGTCAGTGTCTGTATCAGCTACGGCTACCTGTGTAATAACCTGTGTACAAGAGTGAGAACTTAACGGTGCAATGTCCCTGTTTGTTTGCAGTAAAATGTTTGTGGGTGGTCTCAGCTGGGACACGAGTAAAAAGGACCTGAAAGATTACTTCAGTAAGTTTGGCGAGGTGTCGGATTGCACCATCAAGATGGACTCCAACACGGGGCGATCCCGAGGCTTCGGCTTCGTTCTCTTCAAAGACTCTGCCAGTGTGGACAAGGTGAGTCACCTTTGCTTACCTGACAGCTGTTTCTCATGCAATCACATCATACCAGTGAGTTATGGTATGGTAAAGATCATGCAACTATAGCGTAAAGGTGCTCTTTGACAAACTTCAGGAGTGCAAGCTCCAATGATACCTTTAAGCCTTAAACTGTTACTCTGAGGTTCTTTGTTAATGTTACTGGTGATCTGTGTTGAGCTGGACACCCACTTTGAGGGAGAGTAACCACAGAACTGAATTGTCTCCGTCTCGTCTCCAGAGTGATGAATATCTAAACTCTTTGAGATGACTCTATGGCCATTTCAGCTTCATGCAAATCAACAATTCCTGATCATAAGTCTTCTGAGATTGCTTTTTTTTTTGTGAGGAATGGTTTGTATCAGCAGATGCTTCTTGTGAACATCAAACTCAAAATATGTGGGTTTTTAAAGTCAAAATGTCTCTAACCCACACCTCAAATCTTGTTTCATTCTGTAATAACTTAAGATCTCACAAGGTGCAGGAGCATCTTTCCTTGTTGTTTCTCCATCAGTAGTTTAATTTCTGTGTGGTAGTGCTACATGTTAATGACAATAACAAATGTGTACACATCTGCAGGTGCTGGAGCAGAAGGAACACAGACTGGACGGACGTCAGATCGACCCCAAGAGGGCGATGGCCATGAAGAAGGAGCCCGTCAAGAAGATCTTTGTCGGAGGTTTGAACCCTGAGGCAACTGAGGACACTATCAGAGAATATTTCGGGGCATTTGGAGAGGTATGTTTTTCTAGGCGGAGCCACAGAAATCATTCATTTTAATCATTGGAGGAGACTTCAACAGTAAGATGTTTTCTACTGATAGACTGGTTTTTGTTACCAGTAAAGCTAAGTGAAAATGCACACATGTATTGCTTTTGACCAAACATTTTACCTCCACCCTCTCCTGCTGCTTCCAGATTGAAACCATTGAGCTTCCCATGGACCCCAAATCGAAGAAAAGGAGGGGTTTCATCTTCATCACATACAAAGACGAAGCGAGTGTCAAGAAGTGTCTGGAGAAGAAATACCACAACATCCAGGGGGGCAGGGTATGTAGACACAGACGGTGTTACTTCAGCACCTCTGGGTGATTAATGAAACCACTTTTCAACTGGAAGGTTGCTGGGTCTGACCCATCATTTTTCCTGCTGCCTGTAGGATGCTACGGTGTGTCCTGTGAGGGCTTGCTCTCTTAGTGAGGAATGTGTGGTTGTTTTTAACTTAAGCCCACCACAAAGCCAACCGTGATCTTGACCGCCTACAATTTTGAGATCAGTCCTGCTGTATTAAGGATTTCATTGTATTGTCCACCCCTGCTTAGTGGGTAAAATTGGGATTCAAACTGTATGTTTGCATCTCCTCAGTGTGAGCTGAAGATTGCCCAGCCAAAGGAGGTGTATCAGCAGCAGCAGTATGGACAAGGACGTGGTGGCGGTTATGGAGGCCGGGGGGGCAGGGGCCGTGGAGGTAAGAATGAGGAATTCCCACCTAGTCTCCTGATTTTGTTTGTTTGTTTGCTTTTGCAGGGCTCTGTCAGTCTGCAGAGGTCAGAGTTTATTTTGCTGTGTACCATGAATGTCTATCAAATAAGCCCTTTCGCTGACATTCTGATCCAAAATGTCTCGCATTCCTTCAGTGACTTTTATTTTGGTAGAATCTACTGTAACCTGACCACCAAAAATAAATGAGTGGTTGCAGTTGTCAGAAAGGTTGTTTTCAGGCTGTTGAAACAAACTTTTTAACCACTTTGTCACAGGTCAGAACCAGGGCTGGAATCAGGGCTATGGAAACTACTGGAACCAGGGATACGGAAACCAAGGCTATGGCTACAGTGGCTACGGCAGTGGCTACGGCAACTATGACTACTCTTCTGGTTATTATGGATATGGTCCTGGATATGATTACAGTAAGCACAGGCAAACTGTCATATGCAGTCCTTCAGTCAATCATGGATACGTGGATTTCAACATTGTGATCAGGAATTCACTAGGCTCTACTTCTGTAAACATTGCCAAATGAATACATTCTGTTTGTCTATTTATTTTTGTCCCCTCATTTCCTCCATGCTCGTTGTTGCATGCAAACGGGGATACACGTAGAATTATTAATAAGCAATTGGCTTCGGTCGTCTACTGCGAGAGTGTTGGACTATTCATGGGAATAATTTTGTGTGAAAATAGATATCAGAAATCTGTCGCTAACCCGTCTTTTCTCCATCTCAGCTGACCAGGGCAATGCCAGCTACGGGAAAACCCCAAGACGGGGGGCACACCAGACAGGCTACAAGCCATACTGATGATCACATGGTATTGCAAGGTATGCCATGGCTGTAACTCCCTTCCTTTTACATACGGTCACTTTGCCCACAGACAACTGAAATTCCACCTGAATGAAGTTCAGTTTTAGGGGTGATGGAGCTGGTTAAGTCTGTCCCATCTTGCAAAGCACCAGAGGTAATACCGAAACCTTGAAGTTTTTGTCCTCATCAGACTTGAAACTTTCTGTGCAACAGTGTAAGATGTCAGCATAGTTTACAAAACGCTGTTGACTGCCATTCATGTTGGAAAGCTATGAGGCCTAAAAGCTTTGTAGGAGTTGACTTGCTGTTTTATTTTATTTTCAAATTTACACTTATTTTGGCTTCTATCCCTGTGGGTCATGACCCCTTGTGTTCTTCTTGTGTCTTCCTGCATGAAATGTCCAATCAGCGCCAGGCAGCTGAAGTTTGTTGTCTGTTGCTTTGTTGTAGTTTAGGTCCTGCTCTGACTCTGTACTATTATGTAATACACAGAAAGTACATCGTCTTCTCAAAAAGTTCTAGTGAATAATTTTGGACATTTTTAAGCCTTTTATTATAGATGAGAGGTGCAGCAGAGGTCCTCAGGTGGTCTAGAACCATGGGTGTTGTGGTTCATGGTTGGTGTCTTAACCCCTAAGGTATTGGGACACCAAATATTTTGTTTGTTTGCTGGTTGCTTAATGAGATGCTCAAGACATTTGATAGAAAGTTGAGAACATACGTCTTTCTCTTATTTTTCCTGACTAAAGGAGGCCTCAGACAAAATATACAGCTGACATATTCGTGTTTTATCCGACTTTTAAAGGTCTTTGTTTAAGCATCAAATAGGACAAACATGAATAAGAATGTCTGATGCTCTGATAGAATTGGATTTCTCTTCGTTCATCTTTGAGTTGTGTGTTAAATGTATTTGTTGTAGACAATGTGACTGAGTTTTGTGTCATTCCCCCAGGGCCCCAGTGATCCAGTGAGACCGACTGCTTAACGGACACACTGGGCCTAACTCGACCTCTTTTATGACAGAAGACCATTTGTACAGAAAACATCCGAAATGTAACTTTTCCATGTTTTTGGTTTTTCTTTTGTTTTTTCTTTTGTTTTTTTTGTTTTTTTGGTTTGTTTGTTTTATTTTTTTTTCTTAATCCTATCATTTTTAGGTTTTACTTTTCCCTTTGGTGTTTTTGTTTGTTTTTTTGTTTTTGTTTTTTTGTGTTTTTTTTTTTTGTTTGTTTTTTTTTTTTCCCTTCCACATTTCCATCAACGGAAGTGTAATTTTTACTGTACTTTTTGGTACCTGTTTTGATTCTAATGTATTGTAAGGGTTGTATTTTACATGTTTGCTGGCTTTACAGGTTGAAAAATCTTGGCGCTGTAAAGGAGCTTTTTTGACAAATAAAAACAGTTTTCAGTAATTTTTTTTGTTCTGATGCTTCCAGATTTTGGGGTGGAAGATTAAAAAGTTGTTGAAAGGGTTTAGAATTAAAATTCAGTTGTCAAAATTAAAGTCATCATCGATTACCCTTGGTGTTTTGTAACAACACAATCTAATGATCTGTTATAATGAAGGATGTAAGTTTAATAACTTCAAAGGTTTTTTTTTTTTCAAGTTCCCTTAAACAAAACCATTTGCTTTTTGTTTTTTTTTTTTTTAAGCCCATTTTATGTGCAGTTCAGTATACCAAGAGTGAATTTTAACTCAAGTTATAATTATAATGAAGCGACTTCCTGCAAGCCTCTGTCTTCAAGTTTCTCTGAATTTACCAGGGAAGCAACATCTGAAAATAAGCAGATTTGTGGGATGTAATGGATAAAAATGACTCAACCACATGTAACTGTGGACCTCTTGTTATATTAGAACAAACAAGTTTCTATCCTGGTTTAGTTTGTGTTTTGTAAAGTGTCTTTTGATTTTAGAAATACGCGCTCTCAAGTTTGCTGTCTGCTTATTTTTTCTGGACTGACTTCAAACCTATGGAGTCTCCTCAGTTAGTGTCTCTGGCAATTTATTAGTAATAAACATTCTTGTTTGTAATGATTTGTGTATTTCTAATGATTAATGTTACTGCTAATGATCTGAGTCCTAAAGATTAGAAAACAAGCAGCTTTTTTGTTTTATTAATTCCCATGCTCAAATGAATCTCTTAAGAGCACAAGAAAATTAATCCTGTTCACAAAACTCCCAGAGAGGAGATGTCGAAAAAGGACCAAAAACTCTGGTAAGTGGACATACAGGCCTGAGAGTGAGGTTAGTGTAAAGGTCAGGGGTCACCACAATAAGTAGAGTCTGTGGGTAGAAGGGGGGGTATAAAATTCAACAGTAAATTTCTTGTCAATATAGATGTTTAACAAAGTTGACTATCTTTAAGGAGTTTGAACACATTAATTTGCTGTAGTGGATCTAAGTGTTGATCAAGAGGAAATTTAGCTCTGACGATGGTGCTTGTGAAAAAAAGTCAGAGGGTCATTCACTCCTCTGAGGAAAATAATACTAAGGGGCAGTTTGGATGATTTCAATGTAGTGTGAATGTAGAAACAAGCCAAACAAATCAAAAAAACTAATATCTGTCGCAAAGAGTTGACCAGTAAACAAATTTTGTGGGTTCTTATATACACCTTGGTGATAATATTTTCGTAAATTGATGTAAATTATTAATTATACTTAATTAAATACCACAATAATAATGTTAAGTAAAAAGTATCACCGAGATTGTGATGATAATAAGAACGGAGCCACGGTGCATATGGATAACTGTTTCCGTAGTGTAGTGGTTATCACGTTCGCCTCACACGCGAAAGGTCCCCGGTTCGAAACCGGGCGGAAACATTATTATTATTAGATCTTATTTTGATAATGCCAGTGTTTTACAAACCCAGTCCACAAGTAACATGTCTTGGAAAGTCACGCCTTAGCTAACTGGGAGTGCCTTGTACATTTATTTATAAAGCGCAAAACACGTGGGAGCTATTAAGTGATTGTTTTATACATTTCATTTTATTTTCCTACTTAAGTCCTCAGAATGCTTCAAAAACAAATCATAGTCAAAGAAGAGCTACTTAAAATGCCCTTGTTTGGTCTGGAATGGAAAGTCGTTTATATAAGACAATTATCAACAAGTATTTTCATAGAGATGCCAGAATCCAACTCAGGCTACTACCACACCTTATGATCCCTCTGCAACCAGTAAATTATTTTGTACTTTTAAAGTGATGTTCACAAATAATTCAAAAGTTTGTAATTGTAAATCTGTAAAATAAATCTGCATGACAAATTCAAGTCTGTGCATGTTGAAAAAATTGTGCTTGTGTTGAAGAGATTTGTATTTATCAAAAAATTCTGTGATTCAAAACTATGAAAGAACCTTTACTGAACTGTAAAGGAAGAAATGGTTTAGTCAACATCTGTGTCCTGATACAGAGCAGAAAACTGATTAAAATTCTGCACTCAAAAGTTCCCAGGCAGTGTGAGACACTGAAGTTACAAGGGTCAAATTTGTTGTTGTCTTTTAGTTTTATGTGAATAAGGACTCTTGTTCATTTGTATTGTTTAATTAATAGAGACAAAAACAAACAAACAAAAAAACATAGAGGTTTACCATGCGGTTTTTTCCCCCATTTTTATTGAACATAGTACAAATTCAGATACCAGACATCTGGTAATATCAAATGTACAAAAAGTACACAAGTACAAGTAAGTTTACATATGTATGTATATGCAATATATATAGTATATGTAATATATAATAACTGAAATTACCTTTGTTGAGCCTTTGGTCCCACCCAAGTGTGCGGTGTTTAATCTTAACTGGGCCGGGGCGTTACCATAGACTGTATGGGCGTAACTGTAACTCTATGTGGGCGTAACTGTAAGTATTGCAGCCTATGGAGGGATGCTTTTGCCGCTTTTATTTTTATTTGTCATGGATGTAATAAGTGCATGTTATTTGTTTATTGGCCATTCTTGCCCAATCATGAATGTATGCGGCTAATGCGGCATTTAAATATGTCTATATTTTTAGTCTTTAGTGCTTTTATTTTGAAGGCAACACGCCCAACCGGAAGCTCTCCTTTAACGACTTAAGTTTTGCTCGCCTTCTGCGGGTGACGGGTCTCTGGTTCGAACGAACTGAACCGAAAAAACTGATGCTTGGTTAACGTAGTTAGCATTCCGGGAAGCCATTACCCAGGTAAACTAAGCATGGTAGAGTGTAGTAACGTTATTCCACACCCTGGCTCGAGTGCTGGAGCGGAACGGAGGTATTGATTCTAAGTGCAACCCAAAAGCGGAAGTTGGTGAACCAAAACACTTTTCGTGGTCTGGACAGTTCGTTTATTTGTGTTGTGCAGCGTGGGGAGAGGAGCTTCTTGGAGTTTGTCTCGGTAACGTAAAAGGCACTTCGGAAGACAGGTGAGATGTAAAAAGAAGTCCAACTGTATCAGACAAGCAACGTGGGTAGAAATCATGTTGATTAGTTAGCTAATTTAGCTAGCTAGAGGAGTCGGTGCCAAACGTCTGAATATTTGGATATTTAAAGTGCTGCTTCTAACCGTGAGGAGTGGACATGATTTCAGTCTTATACATGCATCAGAGACTTTTACATTAATGTTAGCATTGATGTGTAGCCGTGGAAGATTAGCTCCCTGTTAGCTCAACCCGGTAAACGGATCCTGCTAACTTACCATGTTCTAAATATACATAGAGTCACAAAGATGCACTCATCAGCTGAACTGAACTGTTAACCTCTGGGGTTACTTGTAATGCATCACTTAAACTTAGATACACAGCTGTTTTTGAAGTTATGAACACCAGCCAATTTTGTATCCAGTTTATTTTGAAACCATAATACTACAGCTACTTGTATGCCAAATATTGCCACGATAAATGCAATACATGATATCTCCTCCCTGTCGTTTTGTCTTTGGTGGTTATTTTTTAAGGATGTACAAACTCTGAAAACTTGTAGTTTGTGTTTGCACAGATTGAGCCTTGTGGTTAACAGAGATTAACAGATAAGGGGGGCGGGGGGCGGAGCTGAAATGTCAGTTTCACTTTATGCGGCCAGAAGTTTCGGCATTTAATGTCCTTTATCACTTCATCATTAGCATTTCAGTTCATCTCAAACCCGTTGGGTGGGGTTGAAGTCAGGGCTTCGTGCAGGCAAGTCAAGTGCACCCACACCAATTTGGGAAAACACCAACCACTGGTTCTCTGATTTTGCTCCGACAGCATTTTGGAGTAAAACATTGTTGTGACAGACAGACTTCGTGCCCCAGAAGAAGTTCACTCTAGCTTGTGGAATTATTTGTGTTTTCTCTTAAAAGGGCCCGAGTTATTGTTGAACATGGAGCTACAATGATTGATGGGCAGGAAGTCACATAACACAGATTGCACTCTGGTATAACATAGAATTGGGTATTAGGTTTAGAATTGAAATGATGACTTTATTGCTGACAGTAAAGCAATAAAGTCACTATAAACAATTCTAAACATTAATTTTGAAGCATATTATTGCTTAACTCACCAAATGCTTTTTTAGTTAGGATTAATAAACAGCGATCAGTCATGTAATCATTAATGATGATGTTATTTTCACTAAGTTGTTTGATGGTTTTTTATAGTGGATCATTGTGTTTCCCTGTTGAGTTTTGTATATTTGTATAAAGACCCTTTAGGGACAGAAGCTGGCAAACTATCTTGGGCTATAAATGCTGTGGTATGTGGCATTGAGCCATGTTATGTACTTGTCCCTATAAAAATAAAGATTATATCATATAAAATTTATCGCTTTATTCAGAAATAACAGGATTGTTAGTAGCTTGGTACAGTGCACAAGCAGATATTGATAAGTTTGGACTTCCATTTAAATTGCACACAGGCTGTATGTTAGTTGATGGTTGTGGTTTTTTTTCCCTCCGCCTCTTTTTTTCAATCATCATGAGCCATAAGAAATAATTTTTGTAGACTGATCTGACAAGAGAAGGTTCTCTTCAGCAACGGATTTATTTACTTTGCTCATAAGAAATTATAATCAAGTGATTAACGTACTACAGTTCAGCTGCAGCCTTTATGTTCATCTTACAGTACTTCTTATGCTGGAAGTATTACAGGAGTGTTACCAGGTCTTGACAAGTAAAACTACTCCCACAACTTTTACCTTTTAAAAGTGGCTTATTCAGATACAAGTAAGACATTTTAAATGTCCATTGTTTTTAAGCAACAATGTTCATGTCTGAAACTTTATGTGGGAAAAAGGAGTCTTTTTTTAATGTGATTTATGGTTTTAAGTTATGCAGCTTGCCCTGTGGAGGAGCCACAAGCCAGCGATGACACTCTCACCTTTTCCCCCACCAGGTGCCATGAGCAGTGAGCTGAATGTGCCTATGGGTTCCCCGGCCCCAGGGGTCTCAGAGCGGGCTCCAGATGCTGGGGGGATGGACTACAGGGACTGGGTGCGGCGCAGTTACCTGGAACTGGTCAGCTCCAACCACCACTCAGTTCAGGCCCTGTCCTGGAGGAAACTGTACCTGAGCCGGGCCAAGCTGAAGGCTTCCAGCAGAACCTCTGCACTGCTCTCTGGCTTTGCGATGGTCAGTCATATTCACTTTTCTGACCAGGCTCAGTGCAACACTGTCACTTAAAAGATCTGGCAGCTTGCTTCTCTGATGTGTATCTTTCCTGTCAGCTTGTGGTTTCTGTTCATTTCAGCAACACTTGTGTGATTATAATTCACCACAGCATGATGGTAAATGCATTTATGGGCAGGAACTGGTTTTAAATATCCTGTTTGTGCTTTAAGCATTTTAAAATGTAACTGTTTATCCTCTGGATTTAATTTTCTATCAACATAAGTCATAATTATATTTCTTTATGGCCACCAACCGTCAGTTGTCTACCACCTGGGCACTGAGTGTTGGATTACAGCTGTGTTACCACATAAAATGTATTTTTGATACACGAAACAAGCCTGTGTTTATACTGGTGTGCATCATAAATATGTTGGACACACAGCATTTTTTTTCTCACAATGGTTTCATCATTTTCATAATCAGTCAATTGTTTCAATAATTTATGAAGCAAAAATTACAAACATTCTTCAACTTGTGACCAGTTGCAGCTTGTGTGTGCATTTTCTTCTCTGTTGTTTGTATGGTGGATGGTTCCAAATACAACAAGATCCATAAGCCTCAGCCACTGTTGTTGTACAGAGGATATTGTTTATGCTCTGCTATACTGACCCACAATATGAAGTTTAATTTTCTTACTGCTGAATGCTTTATCAGGTTTCTGATAATGTAGTCTTCAGCTTCCACTTGCTGTTGATGATGCTAGTAACAGAATTTTAAGCTCTGTGATTGGATGACTGCTGAAATTTACCTTGGGAGTTGTAGTTGACTTCTCCTCTTTAGCTTTTAAGTCCACAGGCCTTTTTAATCAAAGGACCACATATTTGTTGTTCTTTTTATTTGATGATTCAACCAGGAGCAGCCTTGAAGTCCATTGATCAGTCATCTAACATTGTCTGCAGAAAATTACTTTTCCCTCCAGAACTTACTCCCTCCAGAAGTAACTCCTCCTTCGCAGCTCTATCACTGGTGGACTATGTTCTGTAATGGTCGTATGTGAAACAGGTTGATCTGAGCTGGGATTAAGATGATACCAGAGGAGCTAGGAAATGACGGCATTTAATGAGTTTGTGTACATGTACGGTGTCTTTGTGTGAGCCTTATCTTGTTGTGAAGTACACATGGACATATCGTGACCATGTTATTCATATCTGTGTTTGTTATAGGTGGCCATGGTGGAGGTGCAGCTGGAGATGCAGTACAGTTACCCTCGTGTGCTCCTCATTGCCTTCAGTGTGTGCACCACCGTGTTGGTGGCAGTGCACCTCTTCGCTCTGCTGATCAGCACCTGCATCCTCCCTAATGTGGAGGCCGTCAGCAACATTCACAACCTCAACTCTGTCAGCGAGTCGCCCCACGAGCGCATGCACCACTACATCGAGCTGGCCTGGGGCTTCTCCACAGCTCTGGGAATCTTGCTGTTTTTAGCAGAGGTGGTGCTCCTCTGCTGGATGAAGTTCCTGCCCGTAGACTCCAAAAAACCAACCACCTGCACCAGCACGCCAGCCACCGCTGTGGCGCACCTCACGACGTCCCCACCTGTACCACAGAACAGCGGCTGGCAGGCTGCGTTGGCCTCCACCATCATCATGGTCCCAGTGGGGGTGATTTTTGTGGTGTTCACCATACACTTCTATCGCTCTCTGGTGCGCCACAAGACTGAGCGCCACCACCAGGAGATTGAGGAACTGCACAAGATTAAGGTGCAGCTGGACGGCCACGAAAGAGGCCTCCAGACTGTGTGATAATATGATGGCAGCTTTAAGAACTTCCCTTTGTATCCCATATTTATCGAGCCCTCCCACTTTTCCGAAATTTGTTCTTGTCATTGTTATTGCCTTGGTTGGACTCTGGCCGTGAGCCTTAAAGCTCCTCACTTTGCAGTACAGATGGCTTATATGAGTCAGACTGCTAATTTATTCTTAAATTAAAGCGGCGTTTTAGGATTTGTGCAGTGAGCTTCTCTGTGTTTTGGATCTGAAATCTGTTGGTCAAGGATAATGTAAAAAGGTTTACAGAAAAAAGGGCTAATATGTTTTATGTGCCATTTTGTTTTTGCCATGTGTACATTGTGTTGTCATGGTAAGGTTGGGTGCAGATTCCATTTAAGAGCCAGTGAAGAATTTATGATCTCTCCTTACTCCTTTTTAGCAACAATGTAGAAATGATTTAGGTCTCAGACTTCTCATTTTGCTGGCCTTACCTTTCACCAGAAGAAATGGCCACCGGCAGCATAAACTAATTAACATTAATGCCATAAGTAACTTGCCATAAAGCCAAAATGTAACTTGGGTATTGTTTGATTATTTTTCTCTCTGCAAGCAGGTGTCTGTGCACGGCCAAAGATTATGTGTAGACAAAGAAGAACCACTCTGGATCATCATCTGATTACGAGTGGACTAACCAGTTTTAACACCGAGTGGTGCCATCATGTCAGTAGTGGGAATCTCCTTGTTAATTAACTCATATGACATCAGTAATTTCAGGGTCAGGGTGTCCAGTATTTGGAACAAGTATTTCCTGAAAAATAAGGAGTGCTGATGTAAGTTTTACAGTTTTAAAATTTCAGTGTGTGAATGAAAGATTCAATCAACATTTCGTTTTTTTATGCCTCTTATTTACTTTTGGAAACCGCAAGATTATTTAGACCACAACTAAAAACAATTTTTGCCTTCTTAGCCTACAAGAGCTGATCACAGATCTGATACTTTTACTCGTAGATGTGTTACTTGCAAATGTTGAAATGTAAAATACTAGCAACCCCCCCCCCCCACTTACCCACCCTATTGCATGGATGAGTGAGAACCTGCTCCTCAGTCAGACTCATATTTAACATAAAACTGAGCTTGTTTTAACTGTAAAAATGTCGAGTCATGCATCCCACTTTACTCCCTTCACTTTACTGTATTGTGACTTACTGAGTGTATTCTTACACCATGTATGTGCATGTTTGGTACAGCATGGTGAGAAGTGACCGCCAGAGATGGCAAACTGTTGTAAAGTCTTAAAAAGTGCTGCATTCTTGTAAAACAGTGGGGAGGTTGGTGTCACTGTGTTTTTAGGTCCAAACTCTCACACAAGCCTCAAATATTTTTTGCCATTTTTTTTCTTCTGAATAGCTTTTAATGTCTTTTACAAAGACCACAGACCCTGTGTAAAAGGTGTCAAACCAGTCAACTCTGCATACTGATGCCGCTCAAAGTGCTTAAATATGAATGTGTTACTGTCCAAATATGGTTCTGCCTTACAGAATTATTGCCTTTTATGAACTGCTGTTTTCGGAAAGGTCACAACACAAGCTGATTTTGTTTTTCTGGAAATGTAGTTAAGCATGATGCAGTTTAAACTGATGAAGTTTAAACACTGAGTCGGATTGAGGCTGGAGAAAAGGTCAAAATGATGAAGAGTATGACATGGGGGTGGAAATGGGAACAGTCAGTGTTACACATGTTGTAATCAGTCTGACCATGTGACCTCCAGTTTATGTTTTAAATATTGGGGAGAAGAAGCAGGATTTGTCACTTTCTTGGATAAGGTCTGTTACTGCGTTTAAAAAAAAAAAAAAATGTACCAACCTGTTACCACATTCCAAATAAGATGACTGACCAAAGTGTTGCTGAGTTTGTTTGTTTGTTTGTTTGTTTGTTGCTTCTCAGAAAAGACAAAAAGTGCACTTGTAGTTTAGTTGTACAGTGAATGACTACTGGGGTTCTTACCGGAAAATATCTCGCTTTGCCTTGTGTTTGTGGATTAGTGCTTCTTCAATGAAAACTGCAAAGGTCATGGAGATGACAGCCTGTGAACAGACTTTTAAAAAAAAATAAAGAATATATTAAAGTTCTCATTGTCTCTTGTGTATCTGTAACCACTCAGCCATTAAAACAGAATTGAGGTTCTGGGTTGGAACCCCAGGTCTGGGACCTTTCTGTGTGGAGAATTTTGACATTGACATTTTATTCCTAACTATACAATGTGATTTTTATGACTTTTTAGACCATACTATAAGACGTTTTTATACCTCATGACGTTTTAATGACTTTTCATACCTTACTATACCATGACTTTTTCAGCAATTTTCATGCCTCACTATACTATGTGGTTTTTATGACTTTTTATGCCTTACTATACAATGACTTTTTTATGACTTTTTATGTCTTACAATACTATGACTTTTTATGCCTTAGTATACTATGCAGTTTTTAGCACTTTTTATGCCTTACTATACTATGACTTTTTAGGACTTTTTATGGCTTACAATACTATGACTTTTTTAGGACTTTTTATGCCTTACTATACTATGACTTTTTATGCCTTACAATATTATGACTTTTCATGTCTCAGTATACTATGTGGTTTTATGACTTTTTATGCCTTACTATACTATGACATTTTTATGCCTTTTTATGCCTTACTATACTATGACTTTTTTATGACTTTTTATGCCTCACTATACTATGTATTTTTATGCCTATGCCTTTTTTATGACTTTTGATGCCTTACTATACTATGACTTTTTATGCCTTACAATATTATGACTTTTCATGTCTCAGTATACTATGTGGTTTTATGACTTTTTATGCCTTACTATACTATGACATTTTTATGCCTTTTTATGCCTTACTATACTATGACTTTTTTATGACTTTTTATGCCTCACTATACTATGTATTTTTATGCCTATGCCTTTTTTATGACTTTTGATGCCTTACTATACTATGACTTTTTATGCCTTACAATATTATGACTTTTCATGTCTCAGTATACTATGTGGTTTTATGACTTTTTATGCCTTACTATACTATGACATTTTTATGCCTTTTTATGCCTTACTATACTATGACTTTTTTATGACTTTTTATGCCTCACTATACTATGTATTTTTATGCCTATGCCTTTTTTATGACTTTTGATGCCTTACTATACTATGACTTTTTATGCCTTACAATATTATGACTTTTCATGTCTCAGTATACTATGTGGTTTTATGACTTTTTATGCCTTACTATACTATGACATTTTTATGCCTTTTTATGCCTTACTATACTATGACTTTTTTATGACTTTTTATGCCTCACTATACTATGTATTTTTATGCCTATGCCTTTTTTATGACTTTTGATGCCTTACTATACTATGACTTTTTATGCCTTACAATATTATGACTTTTCATGTCTCAGTATACTATGTGGTTTTATGACTTTTTATGCCTTACTATACTATGACATTTTTATGCCTTTTTATGCCTTACTATACTATGACTTTTTTATGACTTTTTATGCCTCACTATACTATGTATTTTTATGCCTATGCCTTTTTTATGACTTTTGATGCCTTACTATACTATGACTTTTTATGCCTTACAATATTATGACTTTTCATGTCTCAGTATACTATGTGGTTTTATGACTTTTTATGCCTTACTATACTATGACATTTTTATGCCTTTTTATGCCTTACTATACTATGACTTTTTTATGACTTTTTATGCCTCACTATACTATGTATTTTTATGCCTATGCCTTTTTTATGACTTTTGATGCCTTACTATACTATGACTTTTTATGCCTTACAATATTATGACTTTTCATGTCTCAGTATACTATGTGGTTTTATGACTTTTTATGCCTTACTATACTATGACATTTTTATGCCTTTTTATGCCTTACTATACTATGACTTTTTTATGACTTTTTATGCCTCACTATACTATGTATTTTTATGCCTATGCCTTTTTTATGACTTTTGATGCCTTACTATACTATGACTTTTTATGCCTTACAATATTATGACTTTTCATGTCTCAGTATACTATGTGGTTTTATGACTTTTTATGCCTTACTATACTATGACATTTTTATGCCTTTTTATGCCTTACTATACTATGACTTTTTTATGACTTTTTATGCCTCACTATACTATGTATTTTTATGCCTATGCCTTTTTTATGACTTTTGATGCCTTACTATACTATGACTTTTTATGCCTTACAATATTATGACTTTTCATGTCTCAGTATACTATGTGGTTTTATGACTTTTTATGCCTTACTATACTATGACATTTTTATGCCTTTTTATGCCTTACTATACTATGACTTTTTTATGACTTTTTATGCCTCACTATACTATGTATTTTTATGCCTATGCCTTTTTTATGACTTTTGATGCCTTACTATACTATGACTTTTTATGCCTTACAATATTATGACTTTTCATGTCTCAGTATACTATGTGGTTTTATGACTTTTTATGCCTTACTATACTATGACATTTTTATGCCTTTTTATGCCTTACTATACTATGACTTTTTTATGACTTTTTATGCCTCACTATACTATGTATTTTTATGCCTATGCCTTTTTTATGACTTTTGATGCCTTACTATACTATGACTTTTTATGCCTTACAATATTATGACTTTTCATGTCTCAGTATACTATGTGGTTTTATGACTTTTTATGCCTTACTATACTATGACATTTTTATGCCTTTTTATGCCTTACTATACTATGACTTTTTTATGACTTTTTATGCCTCACTATACTATGTATTTTTATGCCTATGCCTTTTTTATGACTTTTGATGCCTTACTATACTATGACTTTTTATGCCTTACAATATTATGACTTTTCATGTCTCAGTATACTATGTGGTTTTATGACTTTTTATGCCTTACTATACTATGACATTTTTATGCCTTTTTATGCCTTACTATACTATGACTTTTTTATGACTTTTTATGCCTCACTATACTATGTATTTTTATGCCTATGCCTTTTTTATGACTTTTGATGCCTTACTATACTATGACTTTTTATGCCTTACAATATTATGACTTTTCATGTCTCAGTATACTATGTGGTTTTATGACTTTTTATGCCTTACTATACTATGACATTTTTATGCCTTTTTATGCCTTACTATACTATGACTTTTTTATGACTTTTTATGCCTCACTATACTATGTATTTTTATGCCTATGCCTTTTTTATGACTTTTGATGCCTTACTATACTATGACTTTTTATGCCTTACAATATTATGACTTTTCATGTCTCAGTATACTATGTGGTTTTATGACTTTTTATGCCTTACTATACTATGACATTTTTATGCCTTTTTATGCCTTACTATACTATGACTTTTTTATGACTTTTTATGCCTCACTATACTATGTATTTTTATGCCTATGCCTTTTTTATGACTTTTGATGCCTTACTATACTATGACTTTTTATGCCTTACAATATTATGACTTTTCATGTCTCAGTATACTATGTGGTTTTATGACTTTTTATGCCTTACTATACTATGACATTTTTATGCCTTTTTATGCCTTACTATACTATGACTTTTTTATGACTTTTTATGCCTCACTATACTATGTATTTTTATGCCTATGCCTTTTTTATGACTTTTGATGCCTTACTATACTATGACTTTTTATGCCTTACAATATTATGACTTTTCATGTCTCAGTATACTATGTGGTTTTATGACTTTTTATGCCTTACTATACTATGACATTTTTATGCCTTTTTATGCCTTACTATACTATGACTTTTTTATGACTTTTTATGCCTCACTATACTATGTATTTTTATGCCTATGCCTTTTTTATGACTTTTGATGCCTTACTATACTATGACATTTTTATGACTTTTTATGCCTTACTATACTATCACTTT